ATAAATATAAATATATATATATAAATATAAATATAAATATATAAAAGGCATCTATTAATCTAAAAATAAAAGGCATCTATTTCAGGTAATGAAATCCCATTGGAGCTACCAGGTAAAGGAAAGCTCAGCAGTCAAAAAATAGCTGACCGGACAGCTGCTCAGGAGACTGGCGACATCTTCTGGAAGAGTTGGAACAGCAGGAGACTAATACTTGATGTGGAAATCAATAATCCCTGGATTTACATTTACAGCTTTCATGGTAAATATTAGACGACCACAAACATTAAACAAGCATTTCAAGTTTATTGTCATTTGCACACAAAGCATTATAGAAATACACAACAGATGTAAGAAAAAGTTAATACGTTTATTTTTTTTAATATGCTGCAGGTCAGATCATCTGTGATGATTTTACTTTATAGAAAAATAATAGCCACCAATGAGGCATTTCATAGTTATAAAATTCTCTCCATCCAGCGTTTCCTCCTTCGTGAAGCCGATTAGATTTTCCAATCGCAGAGCGATCTTCACAGCGTGCTCAAGAACTCCTTCACCTGAAACAGAACCATACTCGTCACGCTCAGTGACAAACATCGCTCTCCGTTTCTTTTGTTTGCTTCCAACTTGAAAAACAAGTTGCTTTGTGTCGTCTGTGCAGAGGATAGTGTGGGACCACTTCCTGTTAGTGAATCTGTAAAGGAGCCCGTAAACGCTACATCAGCAGCTCTTCAGGCCTCGTTTCCGTATGTGAAACCCGAGTGTGTATCTCGGTATCACAGAGATCTCACTGTGCACATGAATTAATCCTCAAAACCTGTTTATGTTGTTAAAGGTCAGCTGCAACAAGTGAGATCTTATTTTCCCCAAAGACTAATAATGACAACTTCTTCAAAACTGTACAGATAACGCAGGCATCAAGTATTCAGAATATATCACAATATTAAAATGCTCAGTTACAGGTCCTGCAATTAACCCTTTACCCAAATAGAAGTCTGGGTAGATGGTTTATTATAACCTGACTAGTATCATCCTATTTTGTAGGATTTTATTGTTTCTGCTCTTGTGAAGCACTTTGAGCTGCATTTTAAGTTATGAGCGGAACTATAGAAATAAAGATTATTATTAATAATAATAATTTAAAGCCCTGTAGTGTTCCAACAGGATGTTTCCCCTCAAAGTCCTGTTGGAGTATTTGGATGGAGACAAATCCGAAAGCATCATTTGACCATTTCAAACCTTTAACGAGGCTTAACCGTCACTCACCTTCTCAATCATGTCGGCGCTCTTGATTTCATTCCCTTTAAAGTCTTCATTCACATCTATGGTCAGGACTGGCACGTCACTGAGATACTCAAACTCCATGCTGAGGGCCACAAGCAGCATGGGAATCATGGTTAGTGAAAAAGGACTTCTTTATAGTGGTGAAGCTTTGTTCATCTTAGTAAAATACATCTTGTACACACAACGGACCAGAGACACAACCCGTGTCCCGCCTCATCCATTTCTTTTAAAAACACATACTAATAAATTGCCCAATGTCAGCTGGGATCGGCTCCACCCCCCCCCCCCATGACTCTGACCAGGATAAGCGGTTAAAGATGATGGATGCATGGACATACAAACACGTATTGTATCCTCTCAGAAATGCATAGTTTCTGATGCCAAAGTGCCATAAAGGTCAGTGTGCATGTGTGGGCTCACGTCATGGTCTTGTGCTGCAGCCAGCTCTCGTGCTTGAAGTGGAGTTTCTCCAGATACTCCAGAGGGATGTCTTGCTCTTCTTCTCTGCCTCTCAGGTGCAACCGCTCCAAACATCTCTACACGTGCACATCAAAATGGAAATTAGTACGTTGTTTTAATTCTAAGGTGAAAACATCTCCATTTTCCACAGCAATCACTCTACTCTGATGTGTGAACACTATAGTAAAAGAAGCAGAAGTACCTCCGGTGAAGCTCTGAGGTAGATGATACCGTCCAGCTCCATGTGCTTCCCAAACTGGCTGTGCAGCCAGCCGTGGCAGTCCTGGTAGAGGGACCATTCTGTCTCATTCATGCACTCGCTCTCATAGAGGTTGGCTGCAAAGATGTACCTAGGACATTAAGGACAAGGAGTTTCAACTTAAAACAGAAAAAAGGACCATATCAGTGTTTAGTCGAAGCTGCACAGTACTCACATTACTGCGGTTATCTTTTAAATATTTTTTAATTAAAAAGATTGACTGCATTCTTGAGCCATGACGTGATAAAGTTACATAGAGTCGACTAAAAATATATAAAATAGGAGTGCGAGTGTGAGGCTAGGCCTGCAGCAGTGTGGTAGGTCAGAGATGTTTGACCGGTAATTGCATGATCATCTGTTCCTCTGGGTGTGTTTTTTAAATCTGCATAAAATGATTTCTATACTTGTATGTGTGAAATAGTCATAAACATATACAAATATTTTCATTTGTAGATATTCTTCCGTTGTGTCACTGCTACCTGTCACTGTAGATGGACCGCTCGAAGAACTGCACCGGGTTCTCGGCCTCGCGGAGCTTCCCGTTGGCCGACCTGATCTGAGCTCTCACCCGGCTGATGCAGGCGTAGCTCTGGAACGTGTAGGCCCACCTCTCCGGTTTCTCGTACATCATCTGCAACATGTTCCCTCCACTCCTCTGAGATGTGGTCAGCTCCTGGGGAAGAGGGCGAATTTAAATGTGTGCATGAAGTAAAAAAAAAAACTCCCTATTGGGATAAACACACCTGCAACAATCACAGCTTAGTGTACAGTGCAAGGCCTTGTAATATCTGGTCATTTATAATTAGCAGTGACTGCATATTTTCAGACATATCAAACTCTTTGATGACATTTAATGAATAAAAATAATGTTTAATGTGTATTTTTTGCTGGAGAGATGAATAAACAAGTAAGTATTCAACATAAATCTAATCAGCTCCAAATTCCTTATGCTATTAGTGCTAGTATTATCTAATACTCCATCTAAACATGTCCTGAAAAGTATGTATACTGAGAAGGAGTGTGAGGCTCGGCCTGCAGCAGTGTGGGAGGTCAGAGATGTTTGACCGGTAATGGCATGCTCATCTGTTCCTCTGGGTGTGTGGCGGTGGTGAGTGACCAGTGCAGATATGTGGACAGAGGGCAGCTGCACTCTAAACACAGACTCCTCCAGTTATCTCTACAGTGCAACGTTGAATCAGCGGTTGTGAGAGGATTGCAGGATAGTGCGGAATAAAAAAAACACATCCATCAGACACCATAAAGTGTCTGCATGTGGGCGTCAGCTGGGAGCACTGAATTAGGAAATGTACAGTACCTCAAAGTCACTGCCTTTTGTTTGCACGTTGCACCATCTGGCGATTGGCTCTGGTACCACCTGCCAGTCCCCGCTCTCCTGCACCAAAAGGCGCACAAAGGTGGACTTGCCCGCCGCTGTGCACCAAGGAATAATGCAGAAATTCAAGCTCAGCATTGATAATAAAAACATGTAGCAACACATAAAGCGCGCGTATTGGCTACTGGGTAGTAGAGGGAGTGATAGTAGTCTGGTTAATGGCGGTAAACGCTTCATGTTACAAAAATAAAAGTCTTAAATCACTGTCCAACGACAGTTAACGTCACGTTACTGTAACGGACCAACTGTTACCCTGCCGTGAAGGTTTTTTAACTTGTTTAGTGGAATTTCGCTTTTGCCATAACAAGCTCTGCACTCACCAATGTTTCCCTCGATTGATATCCGGTGTATCTTTTTCTCCATCGAACCTTTCATTGCATCGGGACACGGCCTCTTGGAAGTAAAAGACATGTTTTTAGCTCATTAATAAGCTTATAGATTTAAGCGGGTGTTGCAGCAGCTGCAGGAACTTCCTTGTTGTTTAAAGTTTGGCGCGGGGCGGCAGCAACTGAAGACCGGAAGAGGCGGAGTTTGCACAGCTGTGTTTCCGCCCAGGAAGCAGCTGCTGTCGCTCACGTGTCTCCGGCTCCAGGCTGCTCTGTGTGAGTGTTGTTGTTCCCAAGTTAGCGGTGTATTACCAAACTGTTCAAACACTCAATTGCAAGTAAAAGTCCTGCATTCAATATGGTAAGTATAAGTATATTAGAAGCAACAACATGTACATGTAATGGTCACTGTTATAGTGGTGTTATTACGCATGTTTTGCAGCCTATATCAAATATTTATCTGAAAAGTAACTAGAACATATGCTAATTGAATGTAGTGGAAAAAAGTACAATATTTCCCTCTGAAATGTAGTGAAATAGAAGTATAAAGATATTGAAATACTGTACTCAAGTACCTTAGAATTATGAGTAAATGCATTTATGTAAGCCAAAGAACCAATACCACAAATTATAAATACTCTACCACAAGTAAGGTCATGTATTGTAGATGTTACTTCGGTAAAAGTACAAGAGTATCGGCAGCAACAAAAGTAAAAGTACTCTTAATCCAGAATTCTCTGCTTCAGACTTGTATTCATATTGCTGCATAAACATTAATGCAGCACTTTAATGTTGTAGTTGGTTGAAGTGGATCTAATTGAAACTGCTTTAAATACTTTGGGTTGGTTTAGTATACAACAATGAATCATACTTTATAAACTAGTATGTACAGATACCTCAAAAAAAGTACAGTACTCCAGTAAATGTACTTGATTTCCACCGTGACGCTGCAAGGTAAACATACAATTCATTCAAAGAGTCAAGACCACCTTTATTTTCCTTGTAAACAGCATAAATCAATTCAGTAGCATTGAAACCCTCTACCAAGCCATTATATACAAACATGTCATCATTATTACAGTCGAGGAGGAGCACACTGTAGGCAATAGGCTGTGTTACGGCATGAGATGCTTCCAGGATGATTTCTATTACATTTTCAGATATCTGGTGAGCAGTAACATTCATAATAGTTAATTAAGGACGTGGAAAAAGATACTCCACAATAAAAACAAACAAGATTTTAATATCCAAATAGGGCGGGGAAGGGGAAGCAGCCTCTAAAAAGACTCGACGCATTCTTTAAACCAAAAGCAACCACTCCGTGCTCGCTGAAAGAAAATCATCTTTAAGACAGGTCTAACCCTCAGTATTTACACGTGTGCATTGAAGTATTACACCTCGGACAAATTATATATAAAGATATATATAAAATGTTCATCTCACCGGGTTTTCTTTTTAACCAAACCTGAAAGAGAATTCCATTTCCATCACACAGCAGAATTAACGCATGATGAAGGAAACGTAACATTAGATAAAGTAGGAGCCGGTAACCCTTTTAGTGTTGTGTCAATTATTGCATAGTAAACTACACTTTGAGCTCAGGAAGGGTTCATGCATCTGCTGTTTGAAGCACGGCAACAAACAACTCCAGACCATTAGACAAAATAAAATAATAATAAAGCAGAAGAAATCTCACTTGTGCCTTGGAGCCAATTTCAGCAAATCGACATTCATTTGGGGGGGAAATATGAGGGAGGAAATAAACTATGATCAGTCACATGATACAGCGTCTCACAAAGCACAGTCTATGCAGAATAAACATTCAGGCAAAAGAGGTCAGGGAAATGGTTCAAAGTGCTTTATGGCGAGTGAGATAACGAGGGATGCAGCAGCATAATCCAATTCTAAAAGATGCTTCTATTGTTTTTGTAACTGTGGCGGTTTTGACTTTAAACACAGGTCTCTACTTCTATTAGAGCACATTTATTTACAATTTAAGGTTTTAGATCCCTTGAACACTTTCCCTAAAAATGTGTTTCCACTTCAAGTTGAGGGAAACCACTGGTACACGGGAACAGGTCACTAGAAAACACTAAAAGTTGAGCCGATTTTGAATCCCTGCTACGACGCGACGATAGCCTAGCCTCACTTCTATGTCCTTTAACACATTCATTTATCATAACCTGCACAGAACCCTCGGGAAAGACACTTTCTAACTAAATAAGGAAAAGGTTGGAGAAGAGTGTGGTTTTAAAAACAGAAACAAAAATATCTTTAAACCAGGTTATAGTACAGATAAGAGGGAATTAAGAATCACAGAAAATTTGATGTCAGTGGTATATGGCCTTTATCTTCTTATAGCTCTCACTGTTGATATAGGGCAATTATGAGCCATGCTAGGCACTTAGGATTATTTTGTATTGACAGATGTGGGCTCTTACAGATGTGAAAAGTAACCCAGATCCTTCTATGTAGACTGATGGATAAAATAACTAGCTAGTGTGGTGAAATGGGCTGAAAGGCTGGCTTCACTTCTTGCCATAACACCAACAAAGCCCTAAAGTTACGATACAGCATCTCTGCTTCCACACTCTTCTTAGGAATGGGAATCTAAGAGTGTGAAACCGCCTTGTGTTTTCAGAGATCCAAATGTAAGAGAAAAGAATCTGTGCAGTGAAATAGAAAACGAATGAACATATATGTCTATATTATCCTTAAAGTAAGCCGTGACTGAATACTGGGGCTCTTTCCGTACAGCTAAAACCATTTTGTCCAATATGTTAATCTGTGGTTTGTTCAATTGAGTGTGTAATCCCTGATAGCATGAGTCCTGGTGCCTTAAACCTATCAAGATCCTTCCTTCTTCCTGGCCTTCTTAAAAACATTTCCCCGAATGGAAATATAGTAGATACTGCATACATACAGCCAGGGCGGGGTGGGTATCTGTGCAAAAATAAGAAGACCAAAAAACACAAGGATTACATCGTCGTTTATCTGTCCTTGGTTGTCAGTTTTTCAATGAGCTCCTGAAGTGGGACCAGCTCTTTCCTGTCAATGAGGTTGAACTCCTGAAAGAGAAAAACATAAATCACATGACCCACTGTATGCAAATTCTTTGCTATTATACAGTGTAAAATACGTAAAAGTCAATATTCAAATGTCAGGGATTCTATACCTGAACAAAAAAGATGAAGTGTTTGAAGGACGTGTTGAGGTGGGCCTCCTCCTGCAGCTGCATCACAGAGTCAAAGTGCTGGTGGTAGATATGAGCGTAGACCCTGAACAGACGCTTCAGAATTGTCTTCGCCACCGACATAAAGTTTCTCTTAAAGGGGACACCTTGAGGGGCGAGAGAGAAAAGCTGATTCACAAAACATGCAACCAAAGACATAGATAGTACGATCACAAAGAGCTAATTACTTAAAGGGGAGTTTATTAATACTTTGTTCTTTTTCTATAATCTATTCCTACAAATGCCCAAAAAGCTCAGAGCAATGAAGGCAGATGCAGCTATACTTTGTTCTCTGGATTGCAAATGTCTTTAACGATTTAGGGGAAGTGCAAACGGTCATGAGTGCAACACAGAACCACCTCACGCTAATGCCGCTACCATCTGTGGTTAGGAAACTATGAGGTTGTTACAACAGCACTGCTCCGTACAGCTCCCATGTGCTGTGCAGTCGATTCAGTGGATGTGTGGGGGGGGGGGGTTTGGCAGAAGCCCGGTGGGGAGTTGCTCCCTACAGTGTACACAGAGCTACAGTGCAACCCAACATCAATTATTCAGAAGAAGCAGGTGACTGACAGGACAAGGAGCTCTTGATTAAAAGCTCCCACCTGGGGCTGGACGTGGCCCACTCTTCACTTCTTCACCAAACTAGACTATTTCATGATTATCAATCATTTATAGGCTAGAGGCTGGTGTTAGTCCTGACAAAGTCAAACATATTAAAAGGTGTCCTGTGGAGCTTGTGATCTTATGAGGGAGTCCCTGCTTTGTTAAAGATGGTGAGCAACTATGAAATGGATCCCAGTCATAGATCTTGTGATTGTGGAACCTTTAGCCCTTGGCTCCTTCCACTGAGATGTACCAAACAGAGCAGATATTCACTTGTGCTGGCTGCCGTCCAGCTCGATTCAGGCTGCACCCGAGACAGCACAAGCCTCTGCTAGTCGGGAGGTTGAGAACCGTGTTGGTATGCATGTGAAGTCCGCTACGTTGTGAAGGAGAGAAACTTCTGAATATGTTCAGTCACTGGACCGTTGTCACTGTTAAACTCTACAGAAAAAGTGTTTGCAGAACTATTGTTGTTCTTATTTAGAGCCGAGCACTAATGAACACCAGAGAGTAACACAACGAACAGACGGCTTTGACAGGATGGAGAGAATGGACACGGGGCATACCGATCTTTGAAGGGAAAAGTGTCTCATCATCGAGCTGGTCCTGCACCCAGGTCATGAGGTAATCAATGTACTTGGGAGCGGAGCATTTGATGGGCTTCTTGATGTTGGTTCCATCCGCCCAATGGTACTCATACCTACATGATACGTGGACGACAAACATCAGATCATGAAAACATTCGTGGATTCCATCTCCACTCATTCACCACTGACGTCATTTAATGTAGAGCAACGTTCAGAGTCACCAAACACATAATTCTCATCTGGATCCTTTGAAGAAGCCAATCTAAAGCTCGCGAGCTATCTTCCCTATGAGACACTAGCATGTAAAACACTGACGATCCACTGATCATGGCAACAGGAGGCCAGAGGACGGTATTTTACATGATCCTGATAACAAGTGGGCTGTGTTTTCCATTAGAATTATGGTCACATTTGCTGCCAAATGGATCCAAGTTATTTTGACAACACCTCTATCCCACACCCTGTTGAGCCTCGGCAGTGCAAAGCTTGTGGGCTGGTTTTGTAACACTTACGGGTGGAAAATTATGAACTTACTTAGGACCCGCAGACATGACTGGACAGCTTTCCTCTGTGCAAAAATCTGTGATGGTGCCATACAGCATGTTGATCTGGTTGAAAAAATCCACAGCTGAAAAAAAAGAAACTCTATTCAAATCACGTGTACACGAGACCAAATACCTCATGTGCCAGCACAAACAGCTGGCGTCGAGTTTCCCCAGTCCAAACTGTAAACCAGTGCACACTCCAGTTATCGGGAACAAATGGTGTTATCTCTCATTCCCATCGGCAGAGCGCCAACTTTGGCTTTCCATCAGTGTGAGAGATCCATTTAGAGTGTTGGCAGCATTGGTGTCGGTGCTCCATTTGCTAATCTCCCAGAAATAAAAGTACATATTGAACAGCTGATGTGCGATGTCCTGTTTACTCAGTCTCCAATTGAGACATTTTTGTCCAAAGTGTTACGTTATTGACACTGAAGATTTCAGTACGTTCAGCATGCTTCTGTTAAAAAGCTGAAAGCTCTTAATACTGTTTCTGCCACTGAAGTAGTTGAAGTTAGATGTAACCAGGGAGGCAGACCAGCATTAGATACATATTTCAAGGCAATACCCGGCTTATCTACCGTTTAAACACTTTGTTTGTGCATTTTACAGTTTTAAAGTAAAACTTCAGATGAATCATGACACACAACCACTGGGAATAACATAAAAACAGGTCCGCCGCTTTGGCCATGCTATCAACACGTTCACTTTGCCATGACAGGTGCCAACGTCATCGTCACCATGAGACTTCCCGTGGGCATCGACGACATAGAGATGCAGAGACAGCTGCAGCACATCAGAGATGCTTAGGTGATACAGAATAAACTAGGAGACATTTACTGCATATCATAACCTCCTTTCTTCCTCTACTGTCACTATCCATTACAAGCAAAATGCCCCAAAAAAAGAAGCTTAAACGCATGAAGTGAACTGCTTCTTGTGAACAGAGATCATCAGGAAAGTCATAAACAGCAATTTCATTCTGACTTCCCTTTATTGTGCAAGTTAAAACATCCAACAGCAATTCATTTGCACTTACCTCTTATGAAACTACAACACTAGTATTGCAATGATATAGCCGAGCCATCTCGCCGGCACACTTAACATAGCTGCAAAATGTCTGAACTCGCTGATACACAAGATTCACTGTTAACACTGTGTAAAAATAGAGAAGTAATACAATCACAATCCCCGTTTTCTTGTGCTAAAAATGGATCCAAAATGCATCAAAGCCCATAAATCAAAATCAAACGTAAATAACCTCAACACACTTCGAATGACAGCACAAACTAATTTATCGACGCATTCACTCTCTTGTTTTGTGATCTGCATTAAAGTAATGTAAACGCTTGATCAAATCACCATTGAAATCCTGATCACTTTACGTTATACTGCAGGAAAAGTACTTTAAATAAAAGGCCAATTCATCTGTTAACACGCCGAAACTCTGAACATCTCAAACCCTAAAGGCACTCTGACACGACAGGAAGTTAAGCTCCTGCTGCTGCTGACCAGCAATTTGTCTCAATTCAGAGGAATGTAAACAAGGCTCTCACAGCACAGACAATCGAGTCTGTTTAACATTCACAGTGGTTCTTCCAGCATGAATGCACACGGCCTTCCGGGGGAATGCCAAGATCTTACACCCTGATAGCTCACTCTCAAACTGATTCTTGATGTGGACTAATTGCGAGTTCAGGAACACGACTACTTGAGAAGCATGCAAATAAAAAAAACAATGAGGAGAGTGACGGATAAAGAGATAAAAAGGCGTGCGACGGTGCTGTCCTGCCAGGAAGCTGAATTTAAAAAGGTGTTTTAAGGAATGGAGAGGGGAAAAAAGGTGAAACTGGCGCTTACTGTTGACTGCGACCCACTCATTTAAGTCTTCACCCTCGGGCAACATGACTGCCATGCGCAGGTTTCCACTTCCCAGTGTAGCCTCTGCATGTTTCAACAGCTCGTACTGGTGAGAACCCTCCGGGATATTCTTCTTGGGCTTGAACGTCTTGGATGAACGGTTTCCACTGTGAGTCACATTTCAAAAGAGGAAGAACAAACAGGGAGGTAGTCAGATATGATGACAAATCATGCGATCACAGCACCTCTAAGTGAGGGACTTTTTACTGACAAAAATTTTGGATCTCCAAAGAAAAGAAAAGAAAAGAGTTGAGCTGTTGTTGACTTGATGTGTTTGCCAGAATCAGAGTGACGGACCAGAACAGTGCGTCTCTCTCTCTCTGTGTGTGTAATGAGGCCATTTGGGGAGGTACTGTGTTCACTGGCCCATTAAACAAGAATTTAAGTCATCACAACATGGAAGGTTGCACACTAAAACTGATTCTCCTTTAATTAAAGCATTAACAGCTATTCAAACCAATCTGTATCAAAATCAATACCCTAGATAATTGTATTAAAATATGAAATTAATTATATTTCAATGGGGTAATGTTACAGAGCAGTGGTTAAACCTAAACTCATCTTCTTCCCTTTACCTAAAAACACTCACATCCTCACCAGAGGGCACTTTAATGTTAATGCACCTCTGATTTCATCCACACAAGGGCTTTTTGAGTAGCTAGCTAAATATCAACAACATATTCTTGTTCCCTCAAACAAATGGGCCAGAGACTGATTAGTGTCCTGTCACATCGGAGCTGGATTAGCTCGTTTTTAACAGTGTTCACACCAGCAAATATTCAGGCCAGCCGGGAATGAGAACCCCTCTATGTTAAAAATTAGCTCAGAGGGTCAGTATATTGTAGCTTAGAGTTTCATGGCAGAACATAATAACTGTACAAATAATCTACAATCGATGCCGACGTTAATTATCATTAAAATCTAGAGAATCACACCAGACATTCGGAGGTTAGTCCAGCAAGTAGTCGTAGCCCGTATCATTGCTATCGCTAGCTAGCTAGCTGGCTGTGTAACGCTAACCCCATTAATATTTCCCCAAATACAAAGCTACATGGCAAGGCAAAAATAAGCACCCGTGGCAGAAATATTACTCACAAAAGAAAACTCATGTTTCCTCCTTGGACTGCAGAAAAAAAATCACTATCTTGGCAAATAGCTAGCAGGCAGACCGAAGGGATTGTTTACTAAAAACTCTCAAGTCTCGCACGTCCTCGGTTCTTTTCGGGCTCCCGTACGCGGTCCTTGAGACGAATCCGAAATAACTATTACTGTGGCGGAACCGACTAACAACATTTACGTTAGTTAAAGAAAAAAACATGAATGTTATGGACAAGCTGGTCCACTGTGAACTGTTCTGTACGCTGAGAGGCAGCAGCGTACTGAATGTAATGCGAACTTCTTCTTTTTGACGTTCAGGGCAGATCAGACGCGTATCTGTAGTGTGCTGCCACCTAGTGGATGGAAACTATCAGTACTACAATTTCAGTTAAAGATAGATTTAATACGATATTGTACAGGGGAAAAACAGTTATGCAGCTAGGGAATCTGCTGACTTTGCTGAGTACAATATATATGATACATATATACATTTTTTTTAATGCCTCACCTTTTTATTAGTCTAATAATCAGACTTAACTGCCATTTATATTATATGTATTGGTTTATTTGATAAGAGACAGTGCACATTAATAAAAACATTGCTGTAAATGCGCCAGAGTTAACCAAGAGGCTCTTTTTCATCTGTAGACATAAGGCAGATGTTACAAAGTTGGAGTACAAAGTTAACCTAAAAACAGAATATAAAATTCAATTTACAAAGTTAAGCAATATTGACCCTTTACAATAAATGCACAAACAATGAAAGAAGTGAGAATATTAATATACTTTATAATATTTTTGTTTCTCTTCATACATGGCTTATGATTTCAACTTTCCATATTATTTACATCCAGTCGTGGATGCATGGGAATATTTTATGTAACCATCATTTGGTTAAAAGTTGTCAACCAGTCCCAGTATTACCAATAAATATAGAAACATTTCAACATTGACTAAAAGTATTACTTTCAAAGCATCCCCTCCAACACTTAGTGCCTTAACATGGAGGCATGGGGGCTCCAGATCACACCAAAAGAGGTACCGGGGACTTGTTCTGATATGTCTACCCTCTCTCATCAGAAGATGGGCTGCATGCCACTCTGTTAAGGGAGCCCTCTACCAGAAAGGTGTGCCATTTCGTGTTCAGTTTTGTGTGTGGTATCCAGCCAGAAATGTGTGGCCTGTCTGAAGTGACCAGCTGTTCAACAGGTCAGATATATGTGAAACATCCAGGAGTGAATGCTGACCTATAGAGGCTGCACTTGTGCATGTTTTTTTTTTCATAGCGAAATGCAAACCTTAGCATACTAACATGTTCACAATTAACTGTGATATTTCACAATATAATACAGTATTCAGACGTTTACTGTGAAATTAATGCAAGGTGTGGCTATTACAGCCATGATTACTGCACACCAGAGCCATTTAATGAGAGTCACGTCATCTCCGCTCATTCCAATTAATTCCCTTTTCTTTTACAGCAATGGCGGCTCATGGAGGTCAAGGAAAAGTGGTTAGGAAAAGACGTTAGGAGGTACTTATTTTTTTCTTTTCCACCGTAGCCTGTCTTTATACGGCTCTGGTAGTACCCACCCCTGGCTGTGAGCGGCAGCAGAGTCTCGTAAGAGCGTCCCATATTAACAGACGAAGAAGAAAGACACAAGCTAACCTGTCACAACAACCAGCTAGCATAGTAGCTAACATTACCCCGAAAAGACAATTTCCCCTGTCAAAATGGAAGTAAATCAAGCGAAACAGGAACACCTACTTGCATTAAAAGGTAGTTAATTTCCTTATAATAAACGTAATGATCTGATTCCAGACGATGGTTTAGGGGTGAAACAGACTTCTTGCAGTGCACTGTTGTCATTTTTTGTGTCTTTTAGCTGCTAATAGCGCTAGCTAAGACGCTATTAAACTCCTACATTCTATACTATAAAACCAAGAATATTTTTGTGACAGGTTTAGCTTTAAAGAATACTTTTCTTGTTAATTTTTTACATCAAAACTGAGATTGAATGACGCTGTTAAGCAACAATACAGCAAGAAGTAAACCATATAACCAGCTAGCTATTGCTGTTGTTAGCAAAGATGCTCCACAGCAGCTGACTCAACTTATGTGTCAGTCAGCTACTAAGCCAATAAAATCCGTGTTTCTGATGAATGTGTAGCCATTAAAGGTTGTACATATAGTGTGTATTTTTAAGATAAAATAAGTAAAAGCCCCAGATGTTGTTACATTTTTGTTGAAAGCTGACAGCTGCTAAAATGTTCCTGTTGACGTCCCTGCTGAGTTCATATCAAATGCCTAATCAGTCAGACTAACCATCCATCCTGTCAGAGACAGACAGACAGATAGACAGATAGATAGACAGACAGATGTATTGCAATACAACAAAGGCTATTTCTGCATTACAGCAAAATTCTACAATAGAATAAAACCTGCCTCTCTGCACATGACAGGCTGATTGTTACCTAGTACTGACATTACTGGCTCTAGGATATGCTCACCACAATTACTAACCAACTTGTGTGTCCAGTCACTAACCGCTGTCACTTTAATTTTGCAGTGATGCGGTTAACAAAACCGACACTCTTCACAAACCTGCCAGTGACATGTGAAGATCGAGATCTGCCAGGTAAGCCTGAACAGAGTTACTGCTGTTTGTAGGGTTTCCACCACGTACGGACAACAAGGAGGCATTTAGTGTCTCTTTTTTCTGTATTATTTCATGACATTGTACTTTTAAATGAAGATTGTATGGCTGTGGATCTATTGACTTCGTATTTCTGTGGATTTGCAGACTTTTCAACTTGTTGTGGTGATCACAGCAGTCATAAGAATCCTGTCTCTGTAGTGTCATTGTGTCTTTGTTCTGTGGAGTGTAGAGATTCAGTCACAGTTTTAGCATGACAGAAACAAAGAAATCTATTTTGGAAGCTTCCAAAAATACACATTTTCTATTTTTTTTTTTCATCAATTGCGAGTTTTTACGTGCATGTATTGTATAACAACAAGGTAGTTCAAAAGAATCCAAGAGGTTTTTGCCAGACTTCTCGGGCTCAACACTCGCATTCTATTCCAGTGAATTAAATCCACGACTGTGATTGAGAGGCAGCCAGGCTTCAGAACACAAATGAGGAGTTCATGTCAACATTTCCTAATCATGTGCACAATGTAAAGCAACATAAGGACTGACACCAGGCTTGAATGGATGTCTTAGTTCTTCTTTTAGTGTCTCTGAGAGCTTTGCTTCTGCTTTTCCTGTTCTCCAAATACAGCTTTCAACCAATAGCTGACATCGGTTGCGTTAGGATTTCACAAACACTCTAGACAACAGACGCTTCCATGTTTGAAATATTTACTTGAGGGAACAATGGCGTATATCTTAATGTCATAAAACTAACACGTATGCAGGAAATGAACAAAAAAGTGCATTCATGCTTTTAATCTAATATTGTAATAATGAGATATGATAATTAATGATATAATGATGCTAGGTTTAGTTGCCTTTAATGTAGCCTGTCACATTTTTGAGAATTTTCCTAAATTTGTAATTTATTTATTGACAAAGTTCGAGATACTTTTGATTTTAAAACATGTACTCTATCACTGAAAGGTAAACAGACAAAATGTGATGAAAATAGCCGATTTCATATACATTTTGAATTGTATTTAGCCTACTTTTTTAGCATTTCCTTTAGATCCAGTGCACATCTGTATTATATTTGTACGCTCTCAGAACCTTCTCCTGCTGAGCAGTTCAGTGTTTCCCTCTCTGGTGAATTACATGACAGAGAAATGTGAACGCTGCGCTGGTAACTGAACTCCTAACAAATCATGAATCACAATGACACTTCTCAGAAGGATCACTATTTTTACAAGAGTAGCAACGAGCTGACGGCTTATCCTAAAGTGCACGAAGATGAATTGAATTTGACATGAGATACATAAAACCATTTCCCTTATTGCTATCGAGTTCCAGCTTTAAAGGGAGCGTGTCATTCTCAGGTTCATACTTTCTAATAGAAAATGCTTAAATATTCAGAAAACACATTATTTGTCCTCATAATGTTTGTCTGAATATACCTGTATTCACCGTCTGTCTGAAACGCTCCATTTTAGCGCCTGTCTCTTTAAGACCCCTGACGGAAAAAGGGTCAGCTCTGATTGGCTTGCGAGAAAAATATGGCGCACCTTTGCAAAGGTAGTTCTCAAGCCGTGCGTGGAGGTACTCATATGGGGGGCGGTTTATTCTAATGAACCTGCATGTGACAGGAAGGGGAACCAAAGCTGAATGGCTTGTTGAATCCCATGTTTGATCGAATAGAGCTAGATGTGTAGATGAGTAGCAATCATAATATTCATAAAGAAATTAGAACCCAATGAAAACCCTTCTGGTTCAGACTGCTTTTCAACCTGATCTTCAAAGGTCCTGTATTTCTGTCTGTGTGCAGTGAACAGAATACTCAAACACTTCTATAACTCCCAACTGTGTCTACATCTTATATATCTACGCAGTCCACAGACAGACTGGGACTCTGTCAGCTGATGGCAACACTCTCAATTCATTGATATTAGTTCCACATTTGCAACAATTTGTTTATGAATATGTATTAAACATTGATGTCACCTGTGCACACATTAGGTTTGTTGGTTCTATTTCTTCTGTCTTTGCTACAGCTGCTTATTCAATGTTCTAAGTCTTGTGTGAGCTCCAGCTCTCAGCTCTTTGTGTTCTTTCCCTCTACAGGAGATTTGTTTGATCAACTTATGAGGGAGGACCCCTCCACCATCAAAGGAGCAGAGGCGTTAATGCTGGGAGAGATGCTCACATTACCGCAGAACTTTGGGTAATTAACGCTCATCAGCTGTTGGAGAATCGACCAATGAGCGCCCAGTCCTTTTTGTGGAGCAAACTTTTGTTTCAAAGTTTAACGACTTGACTCTTCCTACAGAAATATTTTCCTTGGTGAGACCTTCTCCAGTTACATTAGTGTGCACAACGACAGCAACCAGATGGTGAAGGACGTTCTTGTGAAGGTGCTGTAAGAGAAGACCTCTCCAACACTCGTTACACCCTTTGCTCTCCTGTTTTACCCACAACTCTCCTCTCGTGTGTGCAGGCCGATCTACAGACCAGCTCACAGAGGCTCAACCTCTCGGCGTCAAACTCTGCAGTAGCAGAACTCAAATCTGAATCCTGCATCGATGACGTTATCCACCACGAAGTCAAAGAAATTGGAACGCACATGTGAGTGTTGTTCCCCACAGTATTTACACTCCCTTCTTTTGTTATTGTGCCGGGAAACTGTCCCAACTGACCAATGCAGGGAAGCAATCTCCACACAGATTAAAAAACAATTCAATGTGTTTATTCTGAATGTTTCTTTCTTTCCGATGTCCAGCTTAGTGTGTGCAGTCAGTTACACCACTCAGTACGGGGAGAAGCTCTATTTTCGGAAGTTCTTCAAATTCCAGGTGAGTCATGTTTTGAGCGTTTTCTCATTAGATGACAGTGGTCAGCCCCTGTGAGAGCTTGGAGGAGACCTGAGAAATGTCACAGGTCCACAACACAGCCAACGCAATTACCATCCCAGCTGTGGATTCAGAGTGTTGTAGTCTTCGGCTCTCAGTTCGAGAACCAAAAGTAACCCTCTTCCCTTCCCTTTAGCAACATTTGCAACGGTTTACCCTCAGATTCCAATTTCTTTGTCGTTTTTGCAGTGAAATAAATATATTTGTTCTGCCGAATGGAGGTACAGTGTGAGAAAACAACAGCGTTCATTTTGCAATCTATTCTCAATCAGGTTTTGAAGCCGCTGGATGTGAAGACAAAGTTCTACAATGCAGAGGTGAGTCTGCAAATACCATCACCACAATCATACAGACTGTTTGCACGGCCATCTCTTACCACGTCGTTATGCAAAAACAGCTGTATTGGATGACATGCAAGTTGTTACTGTAGCGTACAACATGCTTCATATCATATTTCATTTCATAGTTAGGAGCGTTTCCATATGCTAATAGGGGCAGTTAGTATAAGAATGGTCTCCTGGAAAACTCTTGTACCTCCAGTAATGTCAACTTAGCAGAAACAAAACAACATATTGTTAATCTTTATAGTTTCAAGAGTTGGAGATCAAGCGTTTTCCTCACAGAGGCAACAAGCTTTTTCCTTTTTTTTTTTCCTCATTTTACCAGTAGCTTTTTATATTAGCTGTGTGCAAATATTCATTATCATCATCTTTGGCATGTAACTTCATTTATTATGTCTTGTATTTTATTTTCTCCATTAGAGTGACCTCAGTTCTGTGGTAATTGTTCCCTCTGTTCTCATTGCTGAACGTTAGCTTCTCTTCATCCTCTTTGGTGCAGCAGACTGTCTTTCTGGGGCCAATAGAAAGGTGCAAAGTAGAAGAATGGAAAGGAGTATACCAATCATGGAAATCTAGATTGCCAAAGATAAACGAGTGACGTTCCTACGTTGATTTATTTCCCACCTTGACATGAACCTTCCATTGTTTTTCTTTTGCCCTTTCTTTGGACGCTCATGCTTTCTTGCAAACTCATCCTACACAGGGCTTGGACTTTTTAATTGAAGTTTGTGGTGTTAGATTGTGGTGGTTGGGAGTTGCATTGATTATGCAGTTTATCATCAAATGATGAGTATGCACTGTGATTATTCTCAGACGTAACAGACATGAATTAATGTGCACAGATGCTTTTGAATCTCATTTCTTTAACTTTTGTGTTCCTGGGTTGAAGGAGCGATGCAGCAGGCCAATGAAGTTCTTATTGTCAGTGATTATAAAACCCAGATTACTTCTTGGTTCTAATCATGTACCATTGGGTGAAATATATTTGATTATACGTAGTAAAATGTGTGGTTTTCAGGGTGTTGGTTGGAATGGCTTTGCATGGAACAAAGATGCTAAGCTCTGTGATTTAACAATAACGGTTCATGGTCAGTTCTTATGTTGTGAATTGCAAGGCATGGACTAATCTCTGCTTCTCTCTCATTGTTTCTTACTGTATAGTAGAGGTTGCACTCCAGCTGTGACAGTTGTGTCGACCACTGAGAGTTACTTTTCTAGAGCATCAACAAGTTGCCTACAGTCCTAGGTTAACTATTGTTTGAACTATCCAAGTAAATGTATATATATATATATATATATATAGTTGTGTTTTATTGTAGCATTATTTATTTTTGCCGTAAACGTAAGTTACTTTACTTTTAAATGTTAATAACTGATAAACACATCAGGTTTGGGTGTGATTATCACTCATTGGGTGGTGGAATTTAAAGTATTTTCGGAGATAGGACACATTTGTCATATTTTTAGCTAATATATTCTATAGTATTGTATTTGAATAAGTCATTTGTAAATTTGTTATTTCCACAACAAGCTGATAAACGTGACTGGAGAGCAGAACAGTAATTTATTCAGTATACGTCGCTGAATAAATAAAAACACAACTAGTTGATGTTTGAGAGATCACTTTGAAGGAACTGTGGATCGGTCAAAATCTGTCAGTGTGCAACCCCTACTGTACACTCCGCTGGTCAGCACCTGCACTAACTATGTCCTCGAAGGTACACTGAGCAAACTTCATAGAATCCAACTGATGTGACGTAATGCTTACATGTTATTCACGTTTGTCTTCTGAGTCTTATTTGACACGTGTGATCCATTACATGACTCTCACACCAAGTAGAATAAAGGTTATGTTCACATTTCTTCTCAAAACATTGCTCTCATGCTCATATGTGCATTCAGAGGGTTACAGTTGTGTGTGGTCATCCCTCCTGTTCATACCGGCCTGAAGAGGATCCGGCTCCAGTGGAAGTGACGGGGCACAAAAACCACAGTCCTTTTTTAAAGTTCACATCTGCATATGCATCATATTGGCTTTGGTCAAACTGTAGAAGGCATTTGTTTTAGGGCTGTGGATTTTGTCCCCCGTCTTTTAAAATGTTGTCGGTAAGGTATCGCTTCACGGGCAGTATGGACAGGAGGAAAGTCACAGCAATCAGCAACTCTTGAAACGCTGATATGGCCATGTGAATAGGACCGACATGAACCAATGTGAACCTCCCCTTTAAGGCCCAACCCTTCCTAATACCTAGTGGTGAAGCTGATGTGTTGCTCAGTTTGCCTTGGAGGTTATGTGACTGTGCTAGAATTGTGAGCAAAAGATATTAGTTGGTGACCTCCGGCTTCTCCGCATCCAGACGGATGAAGTGTTCCTGGAGGCTCAGATCCAGAACATCACCACCTCACCGATGTTCATGGAGAAGGTCTCTCTGGAGCCCTCCATGATGTATAACGTCACAGAGCTCAACACGGTCGCGAGCGGAGACGACGGGTAAAAGCACTTTTAGTTCCTCGTTAACGTATTTGCCGTCAGCTTTTTTTTCTTCTCATTTGTAACTTTTTTTCACTGCCAGAGAGTCCACATTTGGCAAAATGTCCTACCTGCAGCCCATGGACACGCGGCAGTACCTGTACTGCCTCAAGCCAAAGCCGGAGTACGCGGAGAAGGCCGGCGTCATCAAGGGTGTGACGGTGATAGGGAAGCTCGACATCGTATGGAAGACTAATCTCGGGGAGAGAGGGAGGCTGCAGACCAGTCAGCTGCAAAGAATGGTATTAGGATAATTCTCTTAATGTGTGCGACACTGTCGCGGTAAAAGAATCTCTGTTTTTTCCCCCCTAATTTCATTTTTTATCTTCCAGGCTCCAGGGTATGGAGACATCAGACTGTCTTTGGAGATGATTCCTGACACGGTCAACCTTGAAGAACCTTTTGACATTATCTGTAAAATCACCAACTGCAGGTAAAAAAAATCCCCAGTCCAATTTATGATGAAATCACTGAATTACAGGCATGACCCAGCAACGGTAAACACCTTTTTTGTTGTTGTAGCGAAAGAACCATGGACCTGGTGCTGGAGATGTGTAACACCAGGTCCATCCACTGGTGCGGTGTGTCAGGGCGTCAGCTGGGGAAGCTGAGTCCAGGTGCCTTCCTCTCTCTGCCCCTCATGCTCCTCTCATCCGTCCAGGGTCTGCAGGTAATGATTTAGACTTTTAGAAGAAAAATTATATCCTCGCGCTGTTCTTGCTCACGAATATTCTTCACGTCCGTGTTTCAGAGTATCTCCGGATTGAGACTCACGGACACATTTCTGAAGAGGACGTACGAATACGATGACATCGCGCAAGTGTGTGTGGTCTGCCCTTACACGAGCAATGAGTGCTAGGAATATTATGTCGCTTTTTTTTTTTTTTCCGCATTTTAGATATGAATGGACCAACAGTGGAATTCTGCACATAACTCTGACATTTCACTCTTTTTGCAACCTGAGGGGATAACACTGTACATTTTTAAATTAATTGTGAATAATATAAATCACTTTCTTCTGAAAATAATGACATAAATGTTAATGAAATCTCTGGAATCTTTGATCATCATGGTGTCCATGGTGGGTTTTGTCATTAAAAATGACATACACATACAAATCCCCATTTTATTGTAAAGATTTTATATTGTGTTGTTTAATGGAACTTCTGTCGACTGCACTAAGCATATGTTCCTCAAATAAGATATGGGAACAGCAGGTTGAAGATGCTTCAGCAGCATGGACCCATCTCTCTTTCCTCCACCTGTGACTTGTGGGAAATGGCTGCTTAAAAAGTACCATTTTCATCTTAACGTATCGCGTGAGATACATGACATACAGTTGAAAAAAGGCTCAGTTTCCAGGCTGGATTTTTAATAATGAGTTTTGTTACAAATGTCGTATGAGATTTTAAACCAGGGGGCGGGTGCTACACTTCCACGACGCCGCTGTGGGTTGGGATCATAGTCGGGATATCAGTGACTAACATGCTCTAAAATACATGCTTGGCCTGCCAAGCTATGTCAACAAAGCGCAGAGAAGCTTGGATTACAACATACACAGAGGAAGAGAGTGACTTCGTTCTCTGCTCAGGTGGCAATACTCATATCTTTACATTACAAATAATAGTTTGCTGCTATATCAGTGCTCTGGATTTGGAATTTAGCACCTTTCAAAACCCTTCTTGACTCGCAAAATCCGTCATCTGTCAAAATCTCCACCCAAAGTTTGTCACACAGGTCTTCTGTTCTAAATGATCAGCCTCCAAGCCCAAGATGAGGTAACATGACATCACCATGACATCATCAGGGGTATTTCCTCAGAAGTAATCATTGGTGGCGTTCCCCTTTAAAGTGTGAGTCTGCTAAAGTGATTTTATTGGATGTCGGGTAGATCTTGGAATCAAACTGATCCTTACCTGTTATTTAAACATAGTATTTAACACAAAGGACATCACACGTCTTTCATATAATAATGACAGAAAAGAACAAATCCAAGCATGAGTGTGACAGTTCAATTTCAAGATATTTATTCACAAGTTTTAGACAAAACGTGCTGCCCTAGCATACCTATTTGTTTCCATAAAGCGTCTGATCTCAAATACCAGATTTAAGAGCATGCAAAATGAACAATCTGTATACTCTGTCACGAGTTAATCAACAATTAAATATGCTTAAAGGGGAGACATTTATTTTTTTCTAAAGTGCAATAACAACATAATGCAGGCCGCAAACACTGCTATACATTGACACAGTTGTCTTAATCAAAAGTTGAGCAGTACTCAATGAAAAGCATAAACGAGTATTATAACACGCGTATTCTGTCTACAAAAATAATATTCAACAAGATGCGATATAAATCTGATGTGTTCCGGTTATTGTATCAGAAAAAGCTGAGATGTTCCCTGCAATGCTGTAAATGTACATTCCTCCCTCACCCTCTTCAGTGCCATGACTAGACACAAGGATCCTTAACTTGAACCATGAAGAGGACAGTATTTTCAGCACGTATAAAACACGATCTCTGCAGAAATGTAAAAGCGCTGAAGAAATAATTTACTCATGTTCCCTCAGTAGGCGGAATGAGTTCTTGGCTCTTTTTATGATTAGGTGTTTACAATGTGTTTTGCCCTACATGTGTGGGATGCTTCATTTCATGGGCCAGTCTCTAGGCCTTCACCTCTCCGACCCCGGAGTCTTTAGTCACAGTAAAGTGCCTTCGACCCCATCCTTGTCTCTTCATTCCAGCTATGCCGGGGATTTGATTTCAAGAAATGGGTGTAGAGATTGTAATTGCGCCGTATGGTTGCTCTTCCTTGGAAAAAAAAACTGGGGGACTGAAATAAAAAATAATGAATGTTAATGATGCAAATATATTCTTTTTTTTTAAAAATACATCAGCTATGGTTTTTGGTTTTAAATTAAAAAAAAAAACACCTGAGGAGATCATGAGTGCTCCTCGGCGCTGCCGCTGAACGAGCGGCTCCGGATGTGGTTCCTCAGCTGCTCGATGAGCTCTGGGTTCTGCTGCTGGATCTGCTGGGCGAACTGTTGTCCCCTGATGGAGAGATGACAGAACTGTGTTTACAAAAGCTCACACAAAGAAAGATGAGAAAACGCCTGCTGGGGTGAATAGAACAAGAGGGACTGACCCCGAATCAAGTTTCTCTCCACTTGATGCAGGAATTGTCAGCAGGAAGTGATTTTTTTGTCCCTTTTTTATATTACCGTACACACCTGATCACTATCAACTTCCCAAAATGTTGAATTACTCCCTTAATATCATATATTTAAACATGTACAGCTCATATGAAACTCTCTATAATCAAGCAGTCATTTTAATCCATTTAATTAAGAGTTGATTGTACTTACGCTTCAATTAAGCTGGAAATGTCTGACAGTCCACCCACTCCTGCTGCTGAACCCCCGACTGCATTGGACATCATTCCTGACATACTGACCGCACAGTGACACGGTGACGGTGAGTCAAAGAATGTTTTAAAACGTACACTTCACTCTTAATGCAGTCAATTCCTTTTAACACTCACAGCTGTTGAACTTGTTGGTTCTGCATCACGCTCGCGGCCTGTAAACACAAATCCGAGCTTTAATCCACTGTGTCTCACAAATGTATGAACAGGACAATTCATTTCTGATCACGTTGGCAATTTTGTGAGAAAAACAAAAACAATCATACACATGCTATCTGATTTAGATGTGTATCTTGTGATTTTAGGCATGCTTGCAGGAGCGTTCTTGGCTTGGCAGACGTTCCGATGTGTCAATCGTTTAACGAGTCAGGACTCTCGGGGGCCCGGACACGGCCCTTTCCACTCGACAATAACTCGGGTGACTAACGGGCTAACTGTTACTCATGGGCCTAATTAGGGAAAGTATCTGGTCTAACCTTAGCAGCGACAAAACAAGCATACGACAGCTGTCTCTGTCAGCAGTAACCTTTATGACACAGCCAGGCTCTTTATGTACCGTGCATACATATACATATATATATATATATATATATATATATATATATTAGGACTCGTGCCTACCATGCTGATGAAGGCGGGGTTGTTGATTAAACTAGCCATGTCAAATCCCAATCCAGCAGCAATCTGTGGCGCACATTCACAGACAAAGGTCAAAATAGACATTGCTCTGTGATATATGTGAGCTTTAATAGGATATTATATATTAATATATCACATAATAATAAGGAAAATACAGTTAACAGTTTAACTCACTGGGCTGGTTGCTTCTTTCTGCTTCTGCTCTGCAATCTTCAGGTTGGATTTGTAGGTCTCGTTCTCGGGGTCTAATACCAAAGCTTTCTTGAAGTAGGTAATTGCCTCCGGATACTTGTTCATGGCTGTCAAAGCCAAACTGGAGCCCCACATTGAAAAGGACACACATCATTTTTGACACACCGTGAAATATTATAGGGCAGATTTCTGTTGAAAAAACCCGACAAAACTCACCCCATCCTGCCATACGCTTTGCTGTAGGTAGGATCGATCCCAATGGCTCTTTCGCAGTCAACAGTTGCCTCTGTGTAATTCGCCAGTTTACTGTGAGCTGCAGCCCTGCAGAGTGTTAAAGTCAGACCCCATGCTTACCTTCATCACTGGCTGACATTAAATGACGTCAACATGGCATCCTGCTGTAAATACCTGTTACAGTAGTACACAGCGTTTCTCAGGTCCAGGTCAATGGCCTTTGTGTAGCACTCCACTGCACATCTGTAGTTCTCCTCCTTCATGTGATTGTTCCCTAAAAATAACATATTGGAATGTTTACAGAGTTTACACATAGAAAGACATAGAAGTAGCTTTTTATCATCCTAAAATTCTTCATCCTTTTAATCACTGATGAACCTTTGCGTAGTTTCAGATCCTCGGTCAGTGGTCTTCTATCGCTCCCTAAGTCCAGGCTGAAAACTAAAAGGGGCGGAGCTTTTGCGATGCCCAAAGAAATGAGTTCTTTGGTCTGTGTCAGTGTCTTCTTTTAGGTCTCCTCTAAAAACAAGCTTATCAAGATTGTTATCTGAGCTGTCTGTTTAGTTAGATTTTAATCCAACAGTCTGAGTACAAGCGCTTCATGGTGCTACAAGGGGTGTTACAGAGGGTACAGGTATCAGACTTCATGAGATTAGAGTTAGATTTAAAGAGTTTTAACATTACCTTCATTCTTGAGTTGCTCTGCTCGTTCGGTGTCTTCTGGAGACGGGGAGGTCTCTGGTATGGTAATGTTGTCATTCTAAGTAAATGCAAAATACAAGAATCATGAAGTGAAATGATCATTCTAAACAAAGGAAAAGCACAGGTGTAACTCATTTAATTAAGGATATATAGGCATGCCAATAACCAATGCCAGTCAGCCAGGCATGCACTGGCTCACCTTAAAGTAAGATATAGTGACAGCAATGTTATCTACAAGTCAAAATGTCTGCCATGAGAACAGTGTATAGTGCTGACTGTGGAGAACGCAACATTCACTGATGCTGTACAAGCTGAGTTAATAAGTTCATAAGAGCCGTACATGATGAGAGAACGTTGAAGCAGGGAACCCGTGGACTGTGCAGTACCCACCTTCAGCAGGGAGTTGAGGAATATCTCCGTCAGAGGCTGTGGCACAGCGAGGTGGCAGTCACTGGAGCTGATCTTAAAGGTTGTCTCCAAACACTGCACGGCGACTGCAGTGACAGGATGACGTCGACGATATGAATTACATTTGTAAGATAAGGTAGCAGCCAAATAATTGGTCGTGGACTCAACAGTATTATTATGGTGAGTCAGAGCTTGGCTGCACTTTCAGAGTGAGAAATCAAAGTCCTGTTCGAATAGAATGAAACACGCCACCGCACATACTGCACGTCGTACCCTAATCCCTAGGCCTAGTCAATTGTGGTTCTTTTTGATGATGAAACCTGCTCCTGTTTATTCTCTCTTCATCATTATAGTGAGATAAGAACATATGCATATTATACGCTGACTCGGACAGAACAAGTGTCCCATATTTGTAAAGTACAAGTGCTCAGTGAGTGGACCTACCTTCAAGGCTCTCCTGCTCGTCAGAATTCAAAGCACCGCAATGTGTTTGATCTCGTAGGAACTGCACAATCGAGAATGCCAGACGCTTCTCCACTGCCATTTTACCTTGAATCTGCTGCACGCACACAGGACGTCGTTTGGAGCGAAACAGAAAGGCACCCACACAAAAAAAATGACTGTATTATTCATAGGGTGACACTTTATATAAGGGTGTACAACCTCAAGTAATGCATAACTAATACATGACAACAACAGTGTTATGAGTGGCTGCTATCAAAAAATGATCAAGTCACTATGAGTCTTTTGTGATTAGTTTGCACTTAATGGGTCATCAATAAATACATACATTTATTTACATGTCACCAAAGTAGCCGGATTATATCTACAAAGAAAGGGACATGCATTTGGGTGAATGAGAAGAAATCAAAGTGAAGAAACAATATTTTAGTACTGATTAATATGATTATTATATTTATTCATAACTCTGTTCATCTGCTTCATCAAGACTGCGTGGATGTTCGAACTGTTCGAACTCTATCAGAAAACTGTGTGTTCATGTTGGACTCCATTACTCAAGCAAGAAGGTGATCAAGAAAATAGGTTTCCAGGGCATTTAAATTCATGCATTTAACTATCATTAGTCATTATTCATTAATCAAGCACCTGTTTTGTACTCTTATTATAAATGGTTACCATTATTATTTGGGATGAGGCATTATTTATGAGGCATGTGGTTACATGGAGGTTTTCATGGCTTATTAAATTGAAATCAACTATCAACCATCGTCATGGGTAATTAGTTATTATCTATTAATAATCAGGGCTGGACTATCACTCAGACAATGCCCACAAATGGTTTTTGGTTAGTTCAGGAATTTGCACAACATACTGTATATAGCTGATGTATTGACCCTGCAGTTTAGCTTATTTGATGGGCTCGTAATATAGTGGAGCTCTGGGCTCACATGGTACCCACTCCTAAGTAAAGTGGTATGAAAACAAATTACCACAACATGGGCTCAACAGCAGATTTCTTTTGCCGAGGGGACCCCCGAACACATTTATTTATTTATTTATTTTTCAGGGACAATGCACACTAATCACCAGTTGCACTGTAAGTGAGCCAGAGTTAGCAAAGAGAGGCTAATTTCCATCTGCTGTCCCCGGCCAGATGTTTCAAGGCAGCCTATTAATCCAGCCATGCTATTATTCTATTATATCCAACAAATACTACTAGAAAGGATGCTGGTGTGCATCTGGTTCTTGTTTCCAAGACAACTCACAGGAGGATGAAAGCAAAATGATTCTTGTTTATACCAACAAAAAAAACATATCTCCATTTAAAAGCTGGATGTTGCAATCTGTTATTTTCTCTCTGTCTGACTGACCAAATCAGTTCCACGCATGTTTGTATCAGCAGGGGCGAATAAGGCCAGCCCACTGGATTGATGTGGAGAGGATGATTTACAGATACAAACACTGCCTTAAATAACCATCACGTGCTGATGCCTTTCGTGGTTGCGTTCATTTTGGGTCCGGCCACCACAGCCACTCCTCCCTCAGTGTGTGTTGACACACGTAAACGCAGTGATGCAGAAGCTGTGATGTAATACCATAATGGGAGACGATATGTAGATTCATACAGGCATTATAATTAAAATATATATACGCAATGCATTCAAGGAAAAACCACCAATGACGCTGGTAGGAGTTTGTCATATATTAAAGCTTGTCTGGAAAAACAAGGCTCGCGCGCTGTGCAGCTCGTGTGATGCTGGCTAAAACCATCACAACCCTCTGTCAACGCGGCTGCAAAACAGGCGCGAGGAGAGGAAAGAAAGGTCGACCTCATATCCCCACCCCCCCTCACCCAACCTTCAAACACCAGCAAGCCAATTTATAAATAACATTGTGTCAAAGGATGCTATGTGTCCCCCCGCCCACCTACCTGAGCTCTTTTCCAGCTGTCTGCTGCTACGGCGTCATGAGGACTTGTGTCGGATTCGATCTTCCTCTGCGCCTGCGCCTTAAAAGCGGAAATAAGGAGCGTTTTTCCACGATTCTGGGGGAGAGGGGAGACCGCTGCACTCGTCGGACTGAGCCACAGTAAGAGCAGAAGGAAGTGTTGTTGGCTGTTGTGCACGGAAAAAAACCGCATGAAACCGCTGACATGTGTGCGCTGAGAGTTGCAGTCCGCCGAGCGCTTTGCAGGTATGCTTCAGGATGTTTAGTGCGCCTTGTTACATTGAACTATCTTCATTTTATTATTTTCTGTTTGTTTTATTAGCACCTCTTAGTCATAAAAAATATATTGAAATGCTAGCCTCTTGCCCCCACTAAACAAAATAAATCACTGAAATGTTTATACGTTTTGGCAGCGATTTGCCACAGCTGTCTTACAAATTATTCCGTGCTTTTATGTTCTTGTTTCTAAAGGCTTGCCATGCCATGAAACTCTACACTAAGTGGAAAGAAGGTCACCACTCACTCAGCATGGAAGAAATGCTGGGCACGTTTAAGTGTGCCCTTGAAGAATGTATGCTTGCAGTAGTGCCACCTGTTTAATCCAATCTGAGGCTGCAGTACTGTTTTTAAACGTTGAGGTTAACCGGGGGGTGTCTGATTCTTCACAGTGTCTCCAAACCTCTCCTGAGAATGACTATCCAGAATGGGTACATGATCTCTGCCAGAGACTGCTGCCAGGCAGGCAATAAGATAACCGCACTGAGATGGGACCTGACCCCAGATGACATCCGCACCAGGACAGACGGCCTGATAAACAGAGTAAAGGCAGCCTATGATGACATTGGATCTCTACAGATAGAAAATGTGTCCGTTGAAAACACCCTGAAAGCCTTGGCTCATGCCAAGCTGGATTATGCATGTAAGTGTTACAGAAGTCTGGCCATAGTCTGCATTTTTTTCTTGTCAACAAACGCATAAAAAAAAAAAAAAAAAGAAAGCCAGAGCACGCATTGAGGATTTTATTACGTCCATTGACTACATTTTCCATCAGCACTGATTGGGCATCCACATAAAAGGTGGGAAACTTTCCCTTTAACTATGGCACCAAATGTGTATTCTTCCACAGCTGGAAATAGTCCCAGACAGACAGTTTGGGTTAAAAGTTGCTAAAAGTCTCCATGTGATTTGTTGGTAATAAATAACTGTTTTAAAAAAACCCATATCAGGCTATTTTTCCTGCATACATTTCCCAATGTCGCACAAAGTAACATTCATGGGGCCTTCTTGTTTTATTTTTCTGTTCCCGTAGCATCGCTCCATGTTCTTGATTTCCCCCAGTACGTTTGTCCTTCCAAAGAGGTTCGGACAGCGAGCACAGAGGCAGACAAGAAGCTGTCCGAGTTTGACGTGGAGATCAGTATGAGGGAAGATGTGTTCAAGCGAATCACAGCCTTGCAGGTATGCCTTACTATGTCGCAAGGTTGATATGAAAACTGTCAAAAGTTAACCGATGCCAAATATTATTCCAAGCAGTAGTGGCTGGCCGACATGCATCATAAATACCGTGGAATTAATGAAAGAAGTGTGGTTGTCTGTGATTTATTTTTTTTTTAACAGAAAAAGATCCAAGACAACCTTTCACCTGAAGAAAAGCGATTCTTAGACAGACTTGTTACATTAGGCAAGCGGAAAGGACTGCACCTGTCTAAAGATATACAAGAGGTAATCTTATTATGAAAGCTACTTTACTTTTGATCATTTTTGAAGTCGTAGCAAAGGCCAGTCTTTTATTTTGAAGTTTTATTATTGGGCTACTCTTGTGTTTACATTTGGACCACAAACTGTAATTTTACAATAATCATGTTACATCCTAGAAAACAAATGTAAAGTTGCTCACTCTTCTTTTCTTTTCTTTTTTTCTCTCCCAAGGAAATAAAAATAACCTACAAGCGTATAAGTGAACTCTCCATCGAGTTTAACCAGAATCTGAATGAGGACAATACCTTTCTTGTTTTTTCTGAGCATGAATTGGGTAAGCTTATTCTGCATAAAACTCAGTCTGGTATTATACATATGCTTTGACTAGTTCACTGATGGTGTTGCCCTCTTCTGTTAAGGTGGGCTAGCTGATAGCTATCTCAATGGACTGGACAAGGCAGCAGATGGGCGGTATATAGTGACACTTGAATATCCCCAGTACTACCCCCTGATGAAGAGGTGTCACATCCCTGAGACCAGGAGGAAGATGGAAACCGCTTTTCACAGCAGGTGTAAAGAGGTAACTGGAGTCTGATAATACATCCGTGTGTCCGACACTTCCCCGAACACAGCGGGATCTGTCTGTTTTTAACTCCAGTTGACGCATGTACACCTGCAGCTTTATCTGGAGGAATACTGTTACTTATACTTATGTTACTTATTTCAAGATTCAAGTTGCCTACTTACACACAAGGATATCAGAGGAAATGATGTATGCACGTAATCCAGCGTTACTGTTTGTAATTTGATCTCATTGATATGAGCTTCACTGTTTACTGTTGACTTTCATACAGCTGTATCAGAGCTGTAATAAATGACTGCTAATGCAAACCACTCTCTTACTGCTGCTGGCACATTAAAAGCATTCAACTGGTCAAATAGGAAGTGGCTTTTATTGTGAAGCAGGAAGCGATCTATTTGACCAGGTGGTTAGCGCTGACCGCTTTTTTGCTACAGTGGATCACTTAACTATTGCGGGGAGTAACGGAACAAGGAGGAGCCGCCTCGGTTAGGCTGAAGTGGCCCACAGAATGGTGGGAAAAAAAAGGTCAATTACTGACTGACTTCTTTTAATAGTCAGTGGCTGCACTGTAAACGGATACGCCAGCAGCTCTTGTATTTCTAAAAAGTAGCTGCTCAACTGTGTTTGTTGCCGTCAGAAATCCTGGGCTGCTGTCAAATAGCCAAATAAATGACGTCCTATGTCTTTTCCTTACCACTTTTCCTCGACCTCGATGGAAAATGTCATGAGGTCAAGGAAAGATATGAAGGAGAATTCATGAGGACTTAGGAAAAGACAACCACGGTGCTCAGAGAATCCGACTGGGACGCTGGATATTATCTGTATTATCTCCTTTCCTTCTATGGTCCAGTGTTCCCTATGCTAAAGGAGATAAGAAAGGAAGCATTGAAGCACTTTTCATGAGCATTTTCTCATTATATTATACATTTTATGAGAAAAATTAGACATTGTGTAAAATGTTCATATTGCATACACTAGCTGATGTGTTTCTTATTTCTTTTTTTTTCCAGGTAAACACAGCAATCCTGGAAGAGTTGATAGAACTGAAATCAAAGGCCGCAGACTTACTTGGTTACACTTGCCATGCGAACTATGTGCTGGAGATTAACATGGCCAAGAATGCAAGCAAAGTGTCTGACTTTCTAGGTATGACCCCTTTGACATGGTTCCACTCGGGGGGGACACACACACACACACACACGGCCACATACATGCAACGCGTGTGTAATTTGAGATGAAGGAAAAGGGAACTAGAATAACTAGAGGAGAGAAATGCTCCACCTCATGCATGTGGTGAATGCTGCACTACATTCCTCTCATATGTAGTGTACATACAGTAATATGCAGTCGTATATAGAAGTATGGCTAATGATCAAGGTCATATATCTCAAAGTGGGAAAAGGTATCTGTATCTTGTCATTTAAGGACAAATCTGTTTAGAAGGGACATAATTGATGATTAAAAAGGGTATAGAAATTAATAGTGGGAGTCATGAGTCTGTGCTTTAAGTTGAAACATAAAAAAAGGGCTGACATTTCATTATGAGACAAAACACAGTCTACATATCTGAGCTGTGTGTCTTTGGCTATGAAGACTTCTTTCTCCCTACTCTACAGACGCATTCTATGAAACACTGAAGCCCATTGGAATCGAGGAGAGGAAATGCATTCTTGCACTGAAGAAGCGGGAGTGCTTGATGAAGGGCTACCTGTTTGATGCACAGATCAATGCCTGGGACTTACCCTACTACATGAATCAAGTGGAGCAGTGCAAGTTTGCTGTGAACAAGGACAAACTGATTGAGTATTTCCCGCTTGACGTGGTGACGGAAGGACTGTTGGGCATCTACCAGGAGCTGCTGGGTCTCACGTACACGGAGGTGGAACGTGCTCATGTGTGGCACGAAAATGTCAAGCTTTATTCAGCCCAGGACACTGAGACAGGAGAGCAGATCGGCCAGTTCTACCTGGACCTGCATCCAAGGTAGAGAACGGGTCACTTTAGGGCTGCAACTAACAACTGTTTTTATTGGCATTTTTTCTATTCTTTGTTTAGATGTCTTGTTTTTTTTTTTTCTGACCAACAGAATCCCAAAGCTTTTTGTAAAGCTGGAACTAAGGAATGTGTTGCATTTTTGCTTGAAGAATTATTTGAATTCATCAAAATTGCTTTTTTTTTTTTTTTTTTCCTTTTATTTTCTGTCAATCAATTAAGTGACGACACTAATGGGAAATGTATGTTTAGATATGCAAATTATGTGTTTTCTTTTCAAATATGTGATGATTTACATACATTTTCAGAACAGGAATCTGAACTTTGCATACAGCCAGGTTAAACAAAATCTTGTTTCAGTGTGTTGACATATTGGAGTCAAAGGTCTCTCAAAGGGGTTTCTTTTTTATTTCTCCCAAAATTGGAAAATGTGTCAATATAGATTTAAAAAATATATATATTTTCACCATGTTTTAAGGAATAAGATGTTTTATAGATCAGGTTATGAATGACTTATGAACAAACCCTTCTGTAATAACCTTTAGAATAGAGATAGGAATGAACAAAGTTGGATGTATGTAAGTGCTACTAAAGTGGAGATTTGTCTGAGAAAAAACTACACATTTAGAGCAATCGACCTTTAAATATAAATATATATTGTAAGATGACATACATTTGTCAAAACACTACTGAGAAATGGGGGAAAGAATGTAACTAATGGATATCGCCTGGAAACTTCCCCAGTTCATTACTTGCATTAAGACAATTTTGAAGTTTTGAAAGAACATGCGTCATAGAAGCAAAATGGCCCAAAATTGACTAGTGACAAAAAAATGTTGCCTTGGGTGTCTCCCTTTTTAATAGATTCATTAGTTTATCCACCATCAGTCCTTGATCTTTGTAATATATCAGCCTGGCCGTGTGACATTTGCGAGTTTATCTTCCACCAGGGAAGGAAAGTACGGCCATGCCGCCTGCTTCGGGCTCCAGCCCGGCTGCAGAGGACCTGATGGAAAACGCCGGCTTCCGGTGGCGGCTATGGTGGCTAACTTTACCAAGCCCAGAAAAGGTTGTCCATCTCTCCTCCAACACCATGAAGTGGAGACTTACTTTCACGAGTTTGGTCATGTTATGCACGAGCTCTGTTCCAAGGTAGGCCATCAGCAGTTTCATTGTATTTGCATATTGCGTGTCTGTATATTGATTAGAACGATGGAGCGTGAACTTTTCCTGCGTTCGTGTCAGACCACTTTCTCAGAATTCAGTGGAACCCTGGTGGAGACGGACTTTGTGGAGGTGCCTTCGCAGATGCTTGAGAACTGGGTTTGGGAGAAGGAGCCTCTGAGGAGAATGTCTCGCCACTACAAGGACGGCACCCCGATCCCAGACGATCTGCTCGACAAACTGATCGCATCCAGAGTCGCCAACACCGGTCGGACAAAAACAAACAAACAAACATCTAACCATAGAATACATACAGAATTCAAGAGTGCTGACGTGTTTATCCTCTACAGGACTGATGAACCTGCGTCAGGTAGTCCTCGGTAAAGTGGACCAGTCGCTACACACCAGCCGGCGTGCAGACACAGCTGAGGTGTTTGCAAAGCACTACCGGGACATCCTGGGTGTTCCTGCTACACCAGGTTGGTTGTAACATCAGTATTAGTGATGAGAATTGAGAGTATTTATTTAATCCTCTCCCATGAGGGCGGGAAAAAAAAATAAAACCTTAATGTTGAAATATAATAATAATTAATTTCCTCTGTGAAACACATGCAGAGGACCTTTTTGTGTTTTTTGGAACGTGTTAATAGGTTCATAACAAAGACCTTTGTGATGTGATGACAAAGAACTTCTTTCTGCAGGTACCAACATGACAGCCAGTTTCAGCCACTTGGTTGGAGGATATGATGCTCAGTACTATAGCTACCTGTGGAGTGAAGTCTACTCCATGGACATCTTCTTCAGTCGTTTTAAAAAGGAAGGTGTTATGAATCCAAAGGTGGGTGTGATTATTATTATACACCATATATATGTATAAATATACCTATAAACTTGTAAGCATACATCTCATTGTTTGTGGAAAATGTCTTTTATCAGGTTGGAAAAGAGTACAGAAGGGTGATTCTGGAGGCCGGGGGCTCTGTGGATGGCATGGACATGCTGAAGACCTTCCTTGGACGTGGCCCATGTCAGGATGCCTTCTTTCAGTGCAAAGGACTGATTAAGTCACAGAAAACACAGACGCTGTAATTTCATATGTTCTTTAATGAGAGTCTTTTTGTCAAAGCAATGTATCATTTTGTATTTCCTGGATGCAAGTCCACATCAGTAGAAAACATGTTACTTTGTTTAAGTCCTTCTACTTGATTTCTACCTGGCGACATTTGTTCAAATGTGCGGTAGATCATGAAGGGTCCTCGTGATAATATGCATTATTTACCTTATTCAGAGCAGACATTTAACTGGTCATAGTGACAAACACACAGGGGGTTCTTATTAAAACATAAAAACCACTTTATTCTATTCAAGTGTCCCAGTAAGCCGCGAAGACGGCAATGAACAATACTGTTACCCTGAGAACCAAGCAGCTAAACGGAATTCAGCCAGCATTAATTTCATTATTTACACCTTCTTTGTGAGAATGTCTTCTGTGAAAAAAGGCCTTGTTGTGAATGATCAGCTGCAAGTTATCTGCAATGTACAAATTACATTACATTCGTATTCATGTTACTAAAAATGTTAATGTGTGTGTGTATATATATATTTACAGATGTAGATGTGTAGTGATTGGAAGCTATGTCAAAGCTACAGAAAGATTTGACAATGTGAAAAGCACAAAGAGGATCTTAAAAATGTTTTAAGGCTTACAAAGCCTCGCTGAGAATGCCGGCAATATATCTATATTAGTTCCCTCCTTTAAAAGGAATCGGTCTATTGTGAGGAAATGTCTCCAGCACTGGATTAAGAAAACATTGTATTTTGGGGAATTACAATTCCCATGCAAGGAATAGTTCTATCCTATACACCAGGGGGCTCCACGTGACAGCAAATGTTGGTATGTGAGTTTTAACATAAGACAGAAACATGTACGTTATCGTTGGCGTAACGCCTTCTATGCTGTAAAATGACTATTTCTTATTCATTAAAACCATGTACGTTTGGCTGCCATGAAGGCTTACACTGTTTGTAAATGATGAAAACGCCTTTTATGTACACATGTAGATTGATTTAATAAAATGTCTTATCTTTGCCCACTTCCAGTCTGTGTGATGAATACCGATCCGTGACCTAATCAGAGGGAAAGGAAATCGATCGAGGGCGATACGGTGAAGTGTTTGTGCGAGATACCGAACGCATCATCTTCTGGGTGGCTCGGTGGAAGCGAGAGAAGGCGACTTCTGGTGGCCAGCCTACTCCTCCATGCAGGCGCAGAGGTCGCAGGGAAGAGAAACCCACCGCTCCATGTTGCTCTCAGACAGCCTCGATGTAGCGTCGGACGACTGCTGAAAAAGCTGCTCGATTGAAAGAGAGAGAAAAAAAGGAAATTATGACTGAAAACATCTGGGTGCGGCACACTTTTAGATGAAAAGGTTTCGCTCTGTCGGAGGTCGTTGGCATTTTTTGCCTTTTTGTATTTCCTTGCTGTGAATGTCGTGGACATTTTGGATTTTTTTTTTTTAATGCTTTGTGTCATTAAGTCTTAACCAAATTAAGAAGCGTTTTTTTCCCCTCTCGCCGTCGGTTGGTTTGAGTAAAGTAAATACTTTTGATCGTGGGGACGACGACGCTGAACAACTTGAGGACGGTTTGCTGAGGAGGAGAATTGTGCGTAATGGGCCAGCTTCGACTTGCTCTTTAAGGGGGGCAACGTTAGCTCGCTGCTAACACACTAGCGAACCCATATTGAACTCAAGCAAAGCTGGGCAGCTAATGCCCACTTCCCGACATATATATTTTGGGATAGTAGCACCCTGCCCCACTACCTGGACACCACTGACTGAGACGCTGACTCGACAGTAATCCAGGTAAGGCTCTTTGTTTGCGCAATTTACTGCTGCTGTCTGTGGGGCCCCACACGGCATGCTAGCATCGATGCTAGCTGCGTAGCGCCGAGGTCCCATTCTGACGCTGTCCCGACTTGAGTCTTGCATTAATTCTGTGCATTTTTAAACATAAATCTTAACGTTAAAGCCTTTTTTTCCTGCACTGTACCCGTGTGTTAAGTGTTGTGTCCACATTGAACCTTAACAAGAGATTTCAGCAGCTGTCTGTGTTTTCGGTCAACAGCTGTACGGTACACGGCTGCACATTCTCAATGTTGCTTGACTACCAGTTTATCGATTCTCTAGAATATCTTGTATAACGCAGCCTGGTACAATTAAAAGCCAATAACCTGGGGCTATTTTACTTTTTACTGCCATTCCCAATATCATAATGTAACAGCTGCACTGCAACAACAGCAGCAGCAGCATCTTTTGTTGCGGAGCACCTTCAGCAGCGCATCGACGGACGAGGGATTAGTCTTCTGTACGGTCAACAAATCGCCGTTTTCGTTTTCTCACCACTTCACTAATCAGATTAACCCCCCCCCCCCCCCATTTAACTCCAATGTAATTTAATCCTGTTAAGATTTGTGGTGGATGCGGAGTTAATCTCTAGGTTTGATTTCGGGGAATCCCTGCACTGACCTCCACTTTATTTATTTATGTAATTTTATTATACTGAATGGTACTCTGGGAATGCTGTCAACATCAACAAACATCAGGAAATCATGGAGTAATTCACGTTCAGGGGGAAATCACAACAAGCCTGCAGGTTATGATGTATATCTGTGGTTGTAACGCACCAATGACAGCTTGCAATGTCGGTTATGGACCAAAACCACTCAGACTGTAAACACAATTAGACATATTTATGCATCCTTGAAAGTGGAGGCCCGCTTTATGTTCCCACAGACAGCATGCAGCATGTTAAGATACAAACTCTGCAGGTGTTTCATACATTAGGTAGATGATTGTTCTCCGGCCTGCTTGCTGAAATACAGAGAATGGTTAAAACTCTGGCGTTGTCATCTGGTAAAGCAGATCCGGTCTCTGATAAGCCGTCAAAGGCCATCCCTGCTGTTGTATAATGTAAACAAAGGCCGGGTCGTATCAGCTGACAATGTTGTGGGCCCACAATCTGAGAGCTGATGGCCAGATGTTTGTAGATGACTATCTTCTGGGCCTCAAGAGTTTGGGGTAAAGTCTTCAATCAGGATAATACAGTTCTTTTGACCTCCTCTCCTCTGATTATATGCGAGACTGATCTTCAATATTATACACTGCATAAATCACAGAAGCATGCACACAGTCACACTGCAGTGGTGTGTTTCCATTGAATTGATCAAGTTCCTCATATGATCATTTACAACAGACCTTATCTAGACTGGAAGATGAGGCTCGCTCTAACAGAGGCCCTCTAATGCACTGCTCTTTTTCTCACACGAGTGCCAAAATGTTCTTGATACAGTTCATTGTGCCACTCAGAGATGGAAATAGAACTTCAACAAAAGTGGCGAAGCCATGCTTCCTTATCTTTATTGTGCAACAAAAAATGTTGCCCTGGCTCCATAATGGTTAATCCAAAGCTCATAATGCTTTCGTGGGGATAGTTGTTTTCCCCATATCTCTAAATCATTCTTTGAGTCTGAGAAATAACACTCTAGATGGATTAGGCATTGTAATGGTCAACCAGGTTAAAACCATGTTTTCCTGAACAAGCCTCAAACGGCTCTAAACTCAGCCTGGTTTTCCTCTGAGGCAACACTTTTAAAAGCCGAATGAAGTGGTATCTGTATGTCATTATGAGTGATCATCCTGAACTGTGAGCCAATGGGATATTAGAGTTGGGGCTGTGTGATTTCATAAGACGGTCAGAGGGTGGAATTCCTTTTAAAATTGGTATCAAATTTCCTTTTCTATCCCCGGTGTTTGTGCTGAACGACTGCTGAACGCATTGTGTGCGTTTGACATTTTATATCCGATAGGGAAGCTTTTCTTTTTCTTCTACATCTTCTTTCACAGTGCGGCTTGTGTGACCATATAAGTGCACATTTCCTCTCCCAAGTTCAGCAGGTCTAGCCTTGAATCTACAGTTGTGCTGAAAAAGAACGCGAAACAACGCTCGAGCAATGTGTCAACAATGAAGCTGTTGATGTGGAATAAAGAACACGTGGGGTTAACACTAAATGCTCATGTGGCATTGTTAACTTGTCGCAGTTGATGGCGTGTAGATAGTGAGGAAACCTGTGAGCCGGTGTACACATGGCACAGTTAAGCTATCGTCGGATGAAATCTCTCCCGAAGCAAACTTACGACAGTCTTGAATGGACGAATGCATTCGTGTTTCTTTGTTGTTGTTGTTCTTTTTTTAAAGGACGTTTGGCAAGTTGTGTGACTTAGGTTTTGTTGTGTGTAAGCAGCTGTTAGCAGGTGCACACAGAGCGAGCTGTTGCATGTGTTTTATTTTACTTTCAATTATATATTCTATGCTAATGATCCTTACAGAGCTGAAAGAATGAGTCCCTAAAGTCGGTAACTTGAACTATTTTGATCTTGATCCTTGCTGCTGTTTGTTGTCATGTGTGATGGTAAATGAAATATCTTTCGGTTTTGGACTGTTGACCAAAACAAGTGGTTTTAACACCCTGGGCCTCAGAAAACTGTGACGTGTATTTTCACTATTTTGTGGCACTTTTATAGCCCAAATGATTCATAAAGATGATCTGCAGAACAGTCGATGGTGTAAATGATCGTTTGGTGCAGGTCTAAAATGGATTTTTTTCCAAGTGAGCATAATAAAGATCACTCGCACTCATTGTAAGCTCCTCCATTGACAGAACAATTTGAGGATCTATTGTACCAGTGAATTGTAACGGGGAGTTTTGTTTTCTATTAACACCACCTCAACAATAAATCCTCAACATGTGTGGAGCAATGCGTCATCGTGGAGATTGGGGACATGTGTGCTCTACTGGAAACACTGTGACAAACTTATTAGCCCAATTTCAACATAACTCGGGTGAAGCCAGTTGGAGGTCCACCCAAGTAATTAATTTCAATTATTTAAAGTTCTTGGCATCGGCCGCTCCTTTGTTGTCATTTCAAACTCCCCAGAAACCTCTGCAACAGTGGTGTGGAACTCATTTTAGTTCGTGGGCCACATACAGTTTGATCTTGAGTGGACCAGACTAGTAAAACCATTGCATTATAACCTCTAGATAACAAAATCTCCAAAAAAACAGATGGCTGTTTCCTCAAACCTGTCCACTCTTTATTTATCTTCTCTGTTCTCGCAAGTTCTTTAAATTTTTCGCCATGTTGAGTCTTATAATATTATATTCCCTGAGTACTGAAATGTACTATGTGGACATGGACAAAGACACTTCCCACGGGCGGCTCCTGCAGGAACAGAAGCTTACGTGGGACAAAGTTGTGTCATGTAGCCTGTACGTAAGCAGGTGGGATCTATAATAGCGTATCTAGCATAGGACCCCCAGTGAACTAGTAGGAATAGTCCTCCAGTGGGCCGGATCGGGCCCTTTTGGCGGGCCGGTCTGGCCCTCGGGCTGTATGTTTGACACCCCTGCTCCACACCGTAATGGTCCATAGAAACGTTATCACCTCATTGCTAAAGATAGTGCCCTGTGCCTGGTGTGGTGAAGGCAACTGGCCCTTTTCTCGTCCATGTAGTGATACCTTCCTGCTTTATAAGTTACCGAGAGGAAGACGGGAGCTCGCCGCTTCCATTCCTGCCGTGTTTCACATCCATTCCAGTTCGGCTACAAGAAAGAGAGGGTTCAACACGGTGGTGGCATTCTAAGCCAACTTCTGTGACAGGCTGGCGCTCTGTACACAGTGTCGGTGTTTGATCTGGCGCGACATCTTTGTTTGAGCTATTAGGTAAAATGCCGTGTTTGTGCATGTACTCTGACCGGTTTGGGTAGGAGGTGTTTTTTTTCTTCCGACCCTTGCCGCGGCTTTTCCATGACAACCTCTGAATCTCTGCCGAGGCTGCTGATAGCTGTGCGTTTCCTTGAAGCAGGTGAAAGCATGCAGCCGAGTCCAAAACAATGGATGATGTGATTGCAGGCGGTGACTAGAGTTTTGGTCATGTGTTGAAGCAAGGTCATGAGTTTAGACTGCCACCGGAGGAGGAAGACCATTTTTGGTCAAACCATAGTCATGACCGTGTGGAGCAAAGGAAGAACTGTGAACAAGATGGCAGTGTGCAGGTATTTTTTGTCATCTTTTCGTGAAGATGTTTGTTTTCCGAGGACCCACTAAGGTTTTCTGTATGTGCCTCCTGATGATTGCATGGGGTCAAACTCAGCTGCACGGCTAACTTGATCTGGAGCAGGCTATATTCAGACCAGGGATGTCCCGAGCTGATATTTATAATTCATAGCAGCGTTGCAGTCGCACTGACCTTCCTCAGGCTGTATAAAAAGCACGGACACACACCTCTCGATACCAAATGTGTCGGCCTTTAAAGAGACTGGTTTGTTCTCACTGTTCTTGAAGGTACATTAAGGGTTTGTGTGGTACTATTTCACTATTTTCTTTCTAATGACACTCCAAATTCTCCTCAAAAACTAAGCTACTTTTAGAGCGTGATTGATTTCTATTTTATTATATTGTATTTGGTCAACACACTTGTGTTGTGGAGATTTTGATTTACGACCTGGTGAAGGTCTGTGGCAATATTTAAACACCACTTTGTTTTTCATTATGACAAATCAGTCGACGATATAAACCCATGTCTATGGATTTTCTTTTTCTTGGTCTGTTGCCCACTTACTATTAAAGCTGGCTTAACAAATAGCAGGTACATTATCTCCACAACTGTAGATCAATATTGAATGAATAGTGAGTGCAATGAAGGCCTTTCATACACCAGATGGAGGGGCCATATCGTGCTGTATTTCGATGCGGTATTTGTGGGGAAATGTACATTTGCATAGTATTTGACATGCTGTTCTATCAGTTTTAACATACATTTGTGCATCCAGATTCTCCGTAATGATTTTCCTGCTTCTGTGACCCAGTTAGGAGAACATCTGTCTCTGCCTCATGCCGTCTCGCTGATTACTGATATCCAAACAAGAAGAATGCAGAAGAATTTATGTAATGGAAGAATTTTGAAAGTCTTTTGAATTACCAAAGAGGAAAGAAAAGTAACCCATGCAAGAAGTGGTCTGTTGTAATGTCGGCTACAGATATGCGTCATAACTGCTTTCATACTTGATCGTATGCGCTGAAGGCCGGGCAACACGTCGACTTCAGGCCGCCGACGCACGACAAGTGGCCCGAGCTTAACTCCAACAATACCTCAGCACACCGTAGATACATCTATAACTCATAAAGAAGACGTGTATAATATCCCGGGTCAGTGTGGTCATCCTCACTGTAAGCAGTATTCCTAACAATCTTTATATATCTGATTGGATACTCAATGTGCAGCCAGTTCAGTGATATGATATCACTGAATAAATGCACTGAGAGTCTTTTATGTGGTTTGGGACAGTGATTGAGCTCAGAGCCACCTGGTTCTTCCATATTCATGTTCATTCATGTTCACTGCAGAGGAACATGCAGCCAAGAAAAAGAAGGTATTTTTTTTAGGTTAGTCAGTTTTATGGAAATAGTTTGGCTACAAAAAGTACAAGGTTGACCAAAAAGCAGGTCGTTTGTCATCGTCTGGCACAAAAATGACGTTGACATCTGCTTACACGTCCTACAAATGAACCGAATGTCCCTCCAGTGCGGTCCATGATGTGTTTGACCACATATGAACGCGTCCTCTGGCTACTTCCAATTTGCTGACTCATTGTGTTTTGGGTAAAATCACACCTGTGTTCATTTGTAAAAGGATCGCCCAAGCTGCTTTTATTTAGTGTCAAATGTGAGCAGCTTGCTGTTAGCTTAGCGTTATAACTGAAATGATATCAAACCTGGCTCGTGTTCACAGGCTAATTGGTGGGTTTTGGCCCCTAAAGAATCTCCATATTTGGCTTTCAGCGTGCCGTGATTCAAACCGGCTGCACAGGCTGGTAACCACCTTGTTCACTGGCTCTAACACACCACTGCCTGCTTATGACGTCATGTGACCATCAGCACTTTGAGTATAGCTCTGTTTACATGTGTTTATGTCTAGCGCTAGAGTCTCACCCGTTCCCACCTTGCTCCACGAGTATCTCCTTTCAGTGCTGGTGGCTTTAAGCGAACACACCTTTTAACTGCGAGGAACAGTCTTAGTGTTTGACAGCAGTCTGAGACGAAGCCAATCTGATTAAGTTTACAGTGTTCTACACGGGGGAATGGCCCGGCCCGGACAAGGAACAGATAAACTGGAATTACTGATACGCAACTGGTTCAGTAATGGAAACTAATGACATTATTACCATAGCACACAAAACAAATGAGCTGTTGTTTGCTCTGCCGATGGCCTCCACCAGTCACACAAAGGTTTGCACGTGAAGTCAACGTGTACCTGTAATGTATTTCAATGAAAGTTAACTCCATATGAGACGTAAATCACGAGCATGGTTATAGTACGGCATAATTATTATCAGTGCATTAGACTGAAGTTAGCCGCTGCTCTGCTGAGACCATGTTGTATGTTTAGATAGCAAGCACGGACGTTATTGTTTCGTAAGCCACAAGAGCGAGCCGAGCACTGCTAAAGGCCATGTCTGATCACTACAGGGCCACTTCTGCTGAATATCTATCAACGTGCACGTGATCAACTCCTGATATCGCCCCATTAATCTGCGGTCAGCTTTTTCCTGCTCCAAACGTCATTATATCGGCCTTTCTCGAAGTCCACTATTGTTCGACGTCTTCTTTATAAGGTTCTACAGAACATACGACGGGCTTAAAATACCTTTTGTTCCTAACCTTTAAAAATGCATGCACCTCGCACCTTCCTCGCCACTTCGGCCAAGACGATATCCAACATCCACCACTTCAAAAGATGTTATGAGACTGTGAACATGATGACTTTTTTTTTTGTGCTACAATAGATATAGTTATTTTTCCCATTAATTCTCAAAAAAAAAGAGTTTCTCAGTCAATGTATGAGTTGGCAGCTATACGTGTTTATGTATAACTGAGGATCACGTAAAAGAACATAGCCACTGATCACTATTTGTCTGCCAAACATGCACGTATAGTCATTAGCTTGCTTATAAAATCAACCGAGAGGTAACCGTTTTCTCATCCTCCATTTTTAACCCCAGTGACGTCGATTAGATGCTGGATGCACCGTCACATTGCATCAATACAAAATGCAAATCAGCTACGCCTTTTTAGATGTTAATTATTGATTTATAATTCATTGAATTCCTGAAGCAGAAGCACAAGAATGCCATTCTGGAGTCACTTCCTCATTGATGTAGCGTAAACAAGCTGCAGGTGATTTCCTTTTCCCGCCTCCTGTTGTTTCACAGTACGGCTGCAGCAGCGACTCTCTGAATAAAAGGGCAAGTAGCTGCAAAGGAGGCGAAGTCTGTTGGTGTAACTGCAGCGCCCCTTCCCCCACTGCCCACATCCCCAATTTGAAAATTCGTGCACCATTCCAGTGTGTGGCGGAGGGAACTTTTGTTTGGCAAGAGTCAGTATCCCAAACAGATGAGATGAGGATAAAGGCGCCCGAGAGGAAGTGGAGCAGAAACTAATGGGTGTCAGTGCAGTCCAATGTGTTTGCAGCTTATTGAAAGACCTGATGAATAAGTCAAAATTTCTCTTTTGCTCCCCCACTTTCTCCTGCCTGTTTTTTGATCCCTCCCTCTTCCCTGCTCTGTAGCTCTATTGTGCTCGGCGAGGATGGTGGAGGGATGATCCTATCTTTTGTAGCTGGCTCTGTTTGTCTCAGATCAACTGGCAAAGCTAATACTTCTGCAGACATGCACGGACAATCCTCAGCATTGTGTGGTGCTCTGACCGGAGAAGCGAGATTATGCCGGCTTTCTTTGTGCATTACAACGCATGTTGCTCTAATGCTGGAGCAGTACAGTCTTTAGCAGCAACATGAAAACAGCTGGATCATTATTTTATTCCTAATGTGTGTCTATCCATGCGTGGTGTGTGTCCTCAGGCAGTACTAACTAGGCGGAGCTTCGCTATTTCAGTATCTGCTAAACTTGTTAAATTCCAGCCGCATTCAAGAGCTCTTTGTAGTTCAAGAAGCATTTGCTGACAAATCACTTTTTTTTTGTCGAATATACTGAACATTAGCTGCAAAGCCGAGACCCCTAGCGAGCGTAACTTACCATGAAGGGAGAGAACGAGCTTCTTCTGACCTAAATCTGAGTGCTAATTAACGTGCACCATGGAACATGTAAAGAAATATCTTCCAGCAGCTTCATCTAATCCCATTAGCCGGTTTCCATTTTTGGTAGTCGTCCATCACCACTCAAGGGATCAGACAAATGATCAATAAAATATGTATTGCAATCAACGATAGTCTTCTGCAACTTTGGAACTTTTCATATTTATGTCTGGTGATGTTATTGTGCCACTTTACGTCTGTTTTACATTTGAATAATAAAAACAAATTTAAATCTAAAGGCATTTCACAGGACAGTTAATTAGTTGGGCAATGTACGGTATTGTGGTTGTCTATCGTTGTATGTTAGCATGCAATTCACAGCCATAAAACACCATCGAAGGTTGTCAAAGTTGCCATCTATTAAACTCTGTTAGCTTTTAATAAGTTATTGCACGATAATTCCACAATGTATTCTGCTAGTTGAGGTGCCAGAGGACTTTATGATTTTTCAAAACGGTTTGTTGTTGTTTGTACTGTTTGCTTTATGTGTTGTCTTTTGTCTTTTTTGTCCTTTTTCCTTAGATAAGCAAATTGTCGCGGTTGGATCTATCATCAGTCGTCCACTGGGATCCAGGCGCTTGAGTCCTAAATGACAAGGTATGTAAAGCAGCCCATTAATGTCACGCGGCGTCCTGATATCAGCGATGAGGGGACGAAGGCTAAATCTCTTTATTCTGGTGTTTGTTTTTTTTGGATTTAGATTTAATTTTCCTTCTCTTGAAGCAAACGCGTCTGAACCAATTTTGGTCTCACGGAAGTGATGTATGTCGAACATGAATACAACTCTAAACAAGAAACAACAGGAGGGCCCCACCCTGTTCTCCCGGAGGCTTAGTGACGTGATACACCTAACAAACTAGCTCTGTGTGCAATCAGCATCCGATTTCATCCTAAATGAGTGAAGAGGTAATACCTCCCGAAGCCTCATAGTTATTTCAGACCGTGCCCCATTGACAAAAGAGTACAATGCGGTTAAAAACTCGATGCCGATTTGATACAAAATGTCGTCCTTTAACCCCCAACAAATGTTGTGTAATAGACCGAAAAATATCTTCAGCAAATCATTGTGGAACAACAGAGGACAGGTTGAGACTGATGTTGCTGTACTGAACTTATAACAGGGTGGTCCTCCAGATGGCACATTCTCTATGGTACTACTGACAGGAACAGGTTTGGCTTAAAAGCTTGAGTCTTTGTCTGTTTGCTTCCACATTTACTCATTTGACTACTTGGCTTCTCCTGTAACTCATAGCTGCTCTGTTTGCATAACTTTCTCACTGCTGGAGGCTTTGCATCAACTACATTTGATACGAATCTCTAATTTCCACAATCTTTTTTTATGGATTTATTTTTATTTTTAATAAGCTAACACCAAATTACATGGCCAGAAAACTATTGATGTGCTGCTACATGATGATTACAAGGTTTCACTATGTAAACAGACTTTCAGCACAGTGATCAATACAGTTTAAGGACCGATACAGACCACCATTCATTCACACATGAGCTAGTAGGGTTGGGCGGTATACCGGTTTTATCACCGTCACCAGTGTCACATTTGGCGATGTGGATTTTGCAATACGGCTTTTACTGTGATAGACACACACACACACACGTTTTGGTTGAGTGAACACGGACATTTTAGGTTAGCGCAGACAAACCAGGACGAAGTAGATTTAACACTCGATGAACTACGTCACATGTAGGTCTATACACCTCATTTTCATTTGTATTTATAGCCAATAAACACATCTGTTTTTAGAAATATGTCTTTCTTAATATGTTCCCTTACATTGCCACGAGAGTTAATATTAGTAGAATTGTGTTTAAGTGAAGTAGGCCTTTTTTATTGTGCTTTGCAGTGATATAATACCATCACCGCAAAAAAAAGAAATCCCCTGCGTTTCACTGGGTTCTCCGGCTTCCTCCCACAGTCCAAAGACATGCGCGTCAGGTTAATTACTGACTCTAAGTTGCCCATAGGTGTGAAAGTATTCACCGTCTCACGTAGAATTTCTACTGAATAGCAACCCTCCCCGCCCTGCAACCCTGAATAGGATAGGCGGTCACGGTTAATGGAGGGATACAGTGGAAGTCATATCGCCCATCACTACTGCATGGGGCGTAATTCAGCAGTTCAATGAACAGTTCATTTGATTGTGTGTGACACCAGTTCACAGAGCGCATGTCTCATTGGAAATCCGCTTTTTGTCCACACTATGAAGATGAACTATGACTTTTTATTTTCATTCTTAGACGAGGACAATTTGTTCCGTGCCGTACTGTTCCTGATTCAACTGTTTATAAGGAGCTGCACTTTTACCTTTCAAGGCCGGTCTCAAAGCGTCCAGGAGCTTTTAGCGTTGGCTGCTGCTTTGGTGTTTTTCTGGAATATTCACAGCACTGCCGTTGCATTCGAGATCTTTCTTTAAAGTTGAGATTCCTCCATTTCTCTCTTTGACATGATATATTTTCAGAGAAAGATGACTTCTTTTAAAAACATATTGCTTTCTGCTTTTTCATTGTTTACCGTTTTAAAACGGTATTTAATGAGCAGACTGTATGACTTTTAACTAGACATTTGGGGAAATATTCACCATTTCCATATTCTCCAGCAGGCAAACATGGGAAATGTGGCAGTTGTCTGCATGGATTCATGGCTCTGACCTGAATGTGTCTGACCTGCTTATTGAGACTTGGCAAACAGCATCTCACTCCCTCTCTTTCTCGCTCACATGGACAAACAGACAAACGGCTGTGTCTGATGCCAAGTCCTGTATCTCTTTCCACCAGGGAAGCATCATCTTCTGAACCATAGCTATCACTGAGAGAGCTTTTTAAGTACATATGTTGGTGTATAAAGCGATGTACATGTATGTTAAATCAAATACATTTCAGAAGACCTGTCTATAATTGAGTACCACGCAAAGCGAAAGTGAGATATTCACCTTCACTGTGTGCTGTATAGGTTTTATAATATTTCTTTTTATGTCTGGCTTGCTTTACTATCCATTCCTCTGATTTATTCTTTCCATTCTTGGCCATCTGTGCGAGTAGCCTAGATCATGAGCAGAGCGCCCCCAGGTTCTCCCGAGCTCTGTGAGTTGGAAACGAGACGAGCAACGTTGTTCTGTAACACTTGAACACACCGTACATCCATATTTGCACACTTGGTTCACTGTGAACACCGATCGGCTGCCTCTCTCTCATGTCATGGTTCACAATAAACCGAAACGGTAAATAAAGTAACCGTCTAAGTGTCACCTGGCAGTGGTTTGAGTGTAGAATGAATGAAGTTCTGCATTAAGGAGATGTAGCCAGACTCTGAACAAATATTGAAGATTGATTTCTAAAAGCAATGACGGTCGTGCAAAACGGAGACTTTTTTTTTCCCCCTTCCTTCCTGTCATTGTGGATATGTAATTGAAACAGATGGCTGTTAATTTGTGCTGTCTCATAGTTTACTCCGTCCTAATAATATGCAGCATGACTGGAAGACATTCCATTGTTTTTGCAAGTTGCCAAGGAGCTGTTATTGTCTGCTGACGTAGCATTAGTGTAGTGGGTTATGGTCAGTAGTGGGAATTGTTTGCATTAAGATAGTTTGGCAACAGAAACTTGTAAATGCATCAGTTTAACCCACCAATGTTGCTGTACTGTACCTTTTTTTTTTTTTTTTTTATCTAAATATTTCTTTTCATGTGACATCAAGCCGGCAACTTTTCTACCTGTCCTGATTAGTGTTTAACTTTAAAGATAACCTGAAAGCTACGACATAGACTCTCCTCCTTTACCCTTATGGTTATTGTATCATTGTTAATAAGGGCCAATGTCATTGATCAGGTCTCCTCTTTGCAGAAATGAATCTCATGGGCTCATATTTAACTGGATCTCATATTTAATTAAGACCTAACCGGCAGGGGGGATGTTTGGGCCGACTGCTATTTATAACCAGCAGGGCTCTCTCCTCCTTTGCCCTGGTTAGCTTTTAATGAGGAAGGAACTGCTCTCCAATAATCCAGCCTTTCCTCTGAAAGACGTCTGACATAATTGTATTGATTGAAGTTTTTTTTTAAATGGTATGGACAAAAATCATAGCTGAAATCATCATTTAGATGTGTTTCAAGCGTTTAAGCTTGGAGCACATCTAAATGGTTTGCTTGAAGTGAACTATCTGAACAAATCCATGTTCTACGCCTTTTAGAGGAGAGGGGAAAGTGACGAAACAGTTATGCAAACCCTTCTTGCAGGTCAGCAGTGGACCTGTTCTTCTTGTTGCAGCTTGTCACATTGAGTTTTCAGAATAGATGTCTTTGCCGTGGGTTTGTAGCACTCTGTGGGTCCAAAAAGAGCTCTCAAACATTGCGACCAGTGTAGAAATAGGACATGAAGTGATAGAGAAGGGAGAGAGAGAGGGTAGAAATGATGAGTGCTTTGCCAACGAAAGCCGCCAGCTCACAGCTGATAAAGCAGCTAGTTCATTCATCATGGCGGCTTTGAAGCACAGACGACTAATATCCGCTATACCTCGTCAATAAACGAGGCCTCTCTGGCTACACGTGTTTCCTCGGCGTCACACGGAATACCAATCGGCTGAAATGATCCAATTAGCCTTCCTCCACATTCACTTCACAATGCCACACACATTTAAAGGCCTTCTCTGCAACTGTGGCTCAGGAATAAACACATATTTGAACTGTGACTTTACCTGCAGGTAAAAAAGAAAAAGACTTTGCAAAGAGGGAGAACCTCAGCTGAACATGTTGTTTCTGGGATGAAAGCGTCACGTTATTTTTCCTTCACCTTCTTTGAACCGACGGTGGAGTTGACAGTCGGTGGTGAGCGTGTCTCACAGGATACCCTGTTGTTGCACGTCTCAGCAGAATTGTCGTCAGTCTTCGTGTTGCCAGGAAGTGGCTTTCAGAGACGCAACAAGATAGTCGGTCGAAGGCTGTGGTTGTAGTTCTGATCATGAAACCGAGCATAATATTTGACCTGCAAATGCATATTTAGGACTCAATTCACCGTGCCTGCATTAATCTGACTATACAGTGCGGTGCAGAAATGCCAGGGCTGCTCTACATATTTTCGACATAGTGACATTTTACTGTCAACAGTGTGCATGGAAGCTCAGAAGATGAACATGCGTATTAATCAACTCGTAGCGTGGTGGAGAGGACTTAACCTTTTGGAAGTGGACCGCCTTGTGCCTCCTCCGTCCCTCTCCGGGGGATCCATGACTTCTCCATAACCTGAGAGTTGTGAAGACCAGAACAAACGAAGTGGAAACGGGACTGCATACATTTGCCCAAGGCCCATCTCAAGAAAATAACGTGGGAATTATTCATTAGGGTAATTACGATGAAGTCATCTCAAAGGGAATCGCATGGATTCCGAGTATCTGCACCGCGAGCCCGGCTGAGTGCAGAAAGTAAAGGGAGAATAAAATGCATCCCATTACAACGCAAGTTGGTGTCAATTAGATGTGATGGCGAGATGAAAGGTTGGAATATTTCCATTTCATTTGGGAATATCACCAGTGTGTTTTAATAGCTTGTGCTACTATTTTCAATGACATTAATGTTACACGTGTCAAC